AGTGCTATTCCTTCTCCAGATCAGAAAATGATATTGGCTGTATCGAAAGATTACAAATGACTATATCCCTCAAAGACAATGAACCAGTCAAACGCACCTACTCAGCAGTGCCTAAGCCTCTGTACCAGGAGATGAAGGGCTACCTCCATGATCTAATAGCACAAGGCTGGATAAGGAAGTCAAATTCTTCCTACTCTTCCCCTGTCGTGTGTGTCAGGAAGAAGGATGGCACCCTCAGGTTGTGTATCGACTATAGGGATCTGAACCGGAAGACCCATCCTGACCGCCAGCCTATACCTAGGGTCCAAGACATCATGGATGGTTTGGGTGGTAATTCATGGTTCTCTCTCCTAGACCAAGGAAAAACTTACCACCAGGGATTCATCTCTGAAGAAAGCAGACCACTAACAGCTTTTGTTACCCCATGGGGACTTTATGAATGGATACGTATGCCATTCGGCCTCATGAACGCCCCTGCGGCCTTTCAGCGTTGCATGGAGGAGTGTTTGGAAGGACTCCGGGATAATATCTGTATTCCCTATCTGGATGACACTCTGGTTTTCAGTAAAACCTTTGACAGTCATGTGCACGATGTAAGAAAAGTGCTGCAATGCCTCAGAGAGCATGGCATCAAACTCAAGCCAAGTAAGTGTAACCTCTTCAAACCTGAAGTCCGTTATTTGGGCAGAATCATCTCAGCAGAGGGCAGCAGGGTTGATCCCGCAGATTTTGAAGCAGTTAGAGCTTTGAAAGACATCAGACCAAAAACAGTGGGCCAGCTCAGGAAAATGCTTGGTCTACTCACCTATTACAGACAGTACATCAAAGATTTTTCCAGGAAGGCCAACTGTCTGTATGACCTCCTTAAAGCAGATACAGATCAAGTTTGTTACAAGCCAAAGAAAACTAAAAGTAAAAAAATAAGTCATGTCGTGCCCTCAACTAAGCCAATCACATGGACCGATGAACACCAACAGGCACTGGAATGGTTGATTGATTGTTTGCTTCACCCACCAGTGTTGGGTTTCCCTAATTTTAGTCAGCCATTCATTGTACACACTGACGCATACCACCAAGGCTTGGGAGCAGTATTGTATCAGCACCAAGATGGCAAACTTAGAGTCATTGCTTACGGCTCTCGCACCTTAACAGCAGCGGAGAAGAATTATCACTACCATGCAGGCAAGCTCGAATTTCTAGCACTAAAATGGGCAATCACAGAGAAGTTTCGAGATTACCTATACTACGCACCAACCTTTACTGTGTATAGCGACAACAACCCACTAACCTACATCTTGTCTACAGCAAAACTGAATGCGACCACCTCCAGATGTGTTGCAGAGCTGGCTGATTTTCACTTTACAATAAAGTACAGATCAGGGAGAGCGAATGGTGATGCAGATGCCTTGTCAAGGATGCCGCTGGATGTAGAGTCACTGATAAGCGAATGTTGTAAGGAGCTTCTACCTGATACTATCACCGCCATGATCCAGGCGGTTGAGGTACAGGAAGAGTCTAATGTAAATTGGTCAATTTCTGCTGTTTGCATGTCAGTCTCAGTCGAAGATGATGAAGCCCCTGCATCAGTCAACCCCATACCGAAAGATCAGCTAGGAGAGGCGCAAATGTCTGACCCTGTCATCCACCCTGTGCTTGTTTGTAAACAGTCGGATTCAAAACCGTCACCACAGGAAATAAAAGCACTCCGCCCGGAGACAAGATGTCTTTTTAGAGAATGGGACAAACTAACATTAGGAAGTGATGGTATTTTATACCGGGCCATAAGTTCTCGTAAGCAATTGGTCCTACCAGAGCAATACAAACAAACAGTGCTTGAAGAACTGCACAATAACATGGGACATCAGGGTGTAGACCGCACAGTTTCTCTGGTACGTGATCGCTTCTTTTGGCCGTATATGCATTCTGACATTGAACACTATGTGACTAGAGCCTGTACTTGCCTCAAGCAGAAAAAGCCATGCCATGAAACAAGAGCTCCCCTAACCAATATTGTGACAACACAGCCCTTTGAACTGGTCTGTATTGACTTTCTCCACCTTGACAGATGCAAGGGGGGATATGAGTACATCCTTGTAATCGTTGATCATTTCACGCGCTTTGCACAAGCTTATGCCACCACGTCAAAGTCAGGAAAAACTGCTGCAAATCTCATCTTCAATGACTTTGCCCTGAAGTTTGGGTTCCCCACCCGTATCCACCACGATCAAGGGGGAGAGTTTGAAAACCAGCTGTTCTCTCAGTTAAAAAAACTAAGTGACATGGCTGGGTCTAGGACGACACCCTATCACCCCATGGGAAATGGTAAAGTGGAGCGAATGAATAGGACATTGTTACAAATGCTTAAGACACTGACTGAGACACAGAAATCAAACTGGAAGGAATCTCTGAACAAACTGGTGTATGCCTATAACTGCACCCGCTGTGAAGTCACAGGTTATTCACCATTTTACCTTCTGTTCGGTAGATCACCAAGGCTTCCAGTTGATATGCTTTTTGGCTTGTATGCGGACTCAAGTTTCAGCAACCAGCGAGAGTATGTAGAGAAATGGAAACAGGGAATGGAAGAAGCATATGCTATTGCAAATGACCATGCTCAAAAGGCTGCTCAAAGGAGTAAAAGACAGTATGACACAAAAATCAGGAGTTCTGTGCTACAGTCTGGTGAACGCGTCCTGATTAAAAACCTGACACCAAGAGGAGGCCCAGGGAAACTCCGTAACTACTGGGAGGACACAATCCACACAGTGGTTAGACAAATGGGACCTGACATGCCGATTTATGAAGTGCGACCAGAAAAGGGTAAAGGACGTTCCAGGATCCTGCACAGGAACTTGCTTATGTCCTGTGACTACTTACCATTAGAGACACAGCTAGAAGTAACTAAAAATGACAAAGGCAAGGAAAGAGAGAGGTACCACCATGCATCTGAACCACAAGAGTCTGATGAAGATAGTGGGGATGAGTATGGCCTTCATTATAAGCCACTTCAAGCCCCCTTATTTCCAGCAGAATCAAAAGAGAGCAGTGCTCAACCAGATATGGATCCTGACTATAGACCTCCACCTGTAAAAATGAGTGTTTCAGTCCCTGCTACGCCACCGGTACATTCTTTTGTTGGAGAGCAGCAGGAGGAGCTCAACACACCTGTTAAAAACATGCTGGATGAAGAAGGAAACATACCTGCTGTGACTCTGCCCGATCACTCACCACAGGCCCCTCCTGCATCAAATACTGCTGCCGAACCTGAGGAGCCAACATACCAGTTGCCACCAAGACAGAGACGCCCACCAACGCGTATGACCTACGATCAGCTTGGTGTCCCTTCCTGCTACAGTATTCAGCCACCACCACAGTTGTCACCTGTCCATTCTGGGTTAGGATTAGTCCCCTGGATTCCATCGCTACACCCATACTACTGGCAACCACCTTGTAAGTATGTATAAACTGGAGCAGGAGCAGGAATCTACAGCATTGGCATATTACCAAGAACTATGAACAGTGTGCAGAGCGTCACCATAGACGATTCATGGCCTGCTCCACAGACTATTCCTCTAGATCATTGACATTTATGGACTGTTGATCGAGGGTATATGGAAATGGTGTTTATGGACTGATTATACAGTGGGAAATCAACAGATATGGACTGTTAAGGACAACTGTTGGTTGTTTTTGAACTGAGATCCTGGTCCTCTGTAAAAGAATCAGTCTGTAGAAAAGGATTTTTAATCCAAATTCAAAAGAGACTGTTTGATTTGATTGTTTTCATGTCGGGACGACATTTATTTTGGAGGGGAGAGTGTGATAAGTTAAAATAGTAGATATTATCAATTAGACCATAAGAGAATTTATTGAATTCATTATTTAAAAAAAACGGTAATACATTAAGAAGAGAAATCAAAAGTGGGTAATCTGGAAAATCATCTGATTTAAAAAGGGTTAAAACGCTAAAAAGTGGTTTGCCTTACATGGTTTATTTTCTTCCTGATTGTGTAATTTGTGATTAAGATGTGTGAATTTACAGTTTACGAGGCGATCTTGAACTAGACATGACGCTGTCTGTCTCCGCCCACATGCCTGGAGATGCCGCGGTCTTTTCCTCATTAGAGTAAAAGTTCTCGCTGAGGAAACATCTCTTCTCATTGTTTTTATTCCTCCCCATTTTCAGGGGCGTAACACAGGCTCGCGCTTTCAGGAAATCCTATAGTAAATTCTGGATGCTACCCACTCAGGACACTTGGAATACATTGGACGAGCAGTATGGAGGAATACTGACACGTTTTTTGTGGACTTTTATGGACCTTTCTGTCTCGGGCACCATAGACCTCCATTATTTGAATGTCAGCAGACAGCAAGAAGCCTCCCAGATCTCCAGATGCATTTGAGCTATCAAAAAAGTACTCCAGAGTGTTGTTCAGCATGGGGGTGAGTAGAAAATGAAGGCTAATCATGTTTTGGGTGTACTATTCCTTTAAACACAGTAACACCTGTCAGTAAATGCTTAAAAAGCCAATTTATTTCTATTTCATTTGACTACTTTAAACATGTTTAACAATCTAGTCTTCTGCTGTCTTGGCCAGGACTCTAATTAAAAAAGATCTTAATCTCCATGAGGCTTGTTTAGTTAAATAAAAAAAAAAAAACTTACTTATCTGTTTCCTAAAATTTTCCTTCTAAATCCAGTAAAACCTGTTAAGAATAATGTAAATTGGCAGCCAATAAAAAAAAAAAAAAGTTTTTTTTCCATCCTTCTCAACACTGAACAGAATCCTGAAGTGATAAAACCTTTGTTTTAATTTCTGACCAGCCTGTTTCTTGTTTCTTCTGATGTTTTGATAATTCAGCTCAATGTCTCTGTGGTTTAAGAACCTCCCTTCCATCATCCTAATCTCTTGCTCCTTCTGCAGATTATCTGTTAGACTCCAAAATCTGATCATTTTCAGCCAGAAGGAACATCTAGATGAAATTTAAAGCAGACTTACTGGTGACTTCCTGCAGGAAGTCCAGACAGGGCCGGCTTATTCCAGACATACTAACAGACACAGCTACCGGGGTCTGGCCTTCGTAGTTCCTGGTGTTGGTGTTGGCGCCGTACGTGTAGAGCATCTGAGCACACAGCACATCATCCCTGAGGGCTGACAGGTGCAGCGGAGTCTGTCCATCTTCTAGACGGCCGAGGTTTGTGTCCGCTCCCCTCTGCAGGAACATGCGGCAGTAGGAATGGTTTCCTTTGATGACGGCGTAGCGCAGCAGGAAGCCGTTCTGAATGTCAATGTTGGCGCTGTGGTCCAGCAGGATCCGCACGCAGCTGGAGCGCTCGCGGATGATGGCCAGCTGCAGCGGCGTGGTGCCTTTGTCGCTGAGCGGGTCCACCTCAGCCCTGAACTCCAGGAGGAGGCGTACGAAGGAGTCGCGGCCGTAGTGGGCCGCCACGTGTAGCGGCGTCCAGCCGTCGTTGCTTTTAGCGTTTATGATGTCGCCCCGGTACTCGGACTCTAGCATCAGTCGGGCGATGCGGGCCCTGCCGTGCATGGCTGCATAGTGAAGAGCAGTGAAGCCGCCGATGAAGTCCTTCACCGTGGGGTCGGCTGTACGGAGCAGAAGGAGAGAACAAATGAGATACAGTCTGATCTGAGGATGCCGCCCCTTTAAAAGCATCACCTGTTTAGATCTGCAGCTGTGCTGCTTTCTGTTAAACCAGTAAAACCAGAAGCCTTAGCTGGCAGCTGACCCACCAGACCAAAACACCTCATCAACATTTCTTTGTTCAAAGGTGACGACCCACAGCGCTTCAGCTAGTTGGTCTCCCTCTGGGAGCATTCTCATCGCCACACCTGATCTTCCTCTGATTCATCCTGACCCGAGAGACAGTATTGATTGATTGATATTATTTGTTTCCTTTCCTCCCTCCCTGCTTTTCTTTCTCTCTCTTTTCCTTCGTTCCACAAATGGAGAATTTTACACGGCGCCATCGCCACAAACTCGTTTTTATCTGTTATTAATATTAAACGAATGTTTAAAACACCCAGATTAAATGCGGTCCGTCTGAAAACACATTCCATGTTTTTATGGAATGAACAAGACCAAAGGCAATGTTTAGCCTAGGGCTGGACGATATAGAAAAAAAGCTTATCGTAAAAAAAAAATGCATATTGATCTATACCGATAATTATTGAAAAGATTTGAAACCATATTTTATGTGCAGCTCTGCCTGGACATTTTATGATATTGCTAAATGATTTAATTTTAATAAAGAACAAAAACACAGACTTCCAATTAAATCTTTATTTAACCAACTTTTTTAACCATAACAGAATTGTTTTAAAGAAAAATAACTTAAGAGACCTGAGTTATGTTATTAAAATTCCCGAAGATTCTTCAGAGGATGATGCAAAGCCGCGCCGGGGCCTACACAGCTCGTACTCCTGATGATAAAACAAGTTGGTTGTGTTACCAGACTTCGTTTTCACTGGTTCCCGACACATTTTACAGATGACTATGGTTTGTTTTTTGTCCGACTTGCCATGCCCGAAATACTGCCAAACTGGCGAACTACAGAAACCCTTCTTTGGAACAATTTCCTCCGCCTCTCCTTGCTGCAACATCTTCATGTGCTCTGTGTTGTGGTTTGAGAGGGCGGCGCTTTGTGATGGCGTGCCTGGGTCCGCGATTGTGATTGGTTGGGAGGAAGTAGTGACTAGCATCAACCTACATGATAGGCTACAATGAGAAGGAAGGAAAACTGCGTTTCTTTATGGGACCTTTATCGACACTCTTTCTTTCTATTGCGCCACACGTCTATCGATCGATATATATCATTATTGGATTATCCCCCAGCCCTAGTTTAGCCTTTTAATTTGTGTTTTTAGTCTTTTTGGGACGGTCTTTACAAACAGTCTTTTTATAGGAGGAGTTTCCCAGAACAGAAGGAAGAAGCCAAAGGCCCGACTTTTAAATTAAGCGAAGTAAAGATGGCCATTTACTCAGTTGTGGGGTTTTAACAACATTTTATGGACTGTGTCAGGTGGAGAACTATATTTTAACAAGCTCCTCATTTAATGATTTTTAGCTGACACTTGATGTACATCAATTTTTTAATTGTGTAAATAAAATGTTGTTAAAAGTGAAAAAAAAGTCAAAAATGGCCTCAAAAACATGGATCATATTTACTAAAAGCCTTTGGTTAGCAAATACTTCCTCTAAATCACTAGTCTTCAATATGTTAATGATGCCGATACTCAGTGTTAGTAAGCAGGGCTGTTGGTCCAGGACTCAGCCTCCATTACACACCTGAATGACGTCTCATTTGTTTGCTTGGTGTTTTTTTTTTTGTTTTTTTTTGTCACAGTATCTGGAAACGTTTATTATAAGCAACATAATAGATCATAAGTTTGGGAACTTCTGCTCCAAGTGCTGTTTATTTAATTACTGAAGCTTTTATGTTTCTTTTCAAAAACAGAACAAACTGTAGAAGGTTATTTTCCTTCAGGACTAACAGGACAGAAAACCATCAAACACATTTAGTTGCCTGCAGAAACCTTCTGGTTGGGTCTCACCCTGTAACTACACAGTAACCACAGGCTTACCAGTAGGGGGCAGAATTGCACCAGTCCCCTCCTCTGTGCTCAAATCTACTAAACCAAACAATTATAAGTTCTGACCTCCATGCTCCAGGAAAACGCGGACACATCGCTCTTTTCCTTTGGCGGCGGAGAAGTGCAGCAGCGTCCACCCGTTGGCGTCCCGTATCTTGGGCGAGTACCCCTGCTCCAGCATCCTCCTGACGGTGCAGATGTCCCCCGCTGCGACTGCAGCCTGGATCTGCAGCTCCTCATGGAGGTCGGGGTTCCCTCTGCAGTGATGGTTCAGCATCCTGTTCCGTTTCAGAAAGGAAACATTCAGCTGTTCGCTTTGGAAGATGAAACAGAAGCTTAATTATCTCAAGCTAATGTGAAACCATGTTTTTCCTCGGCCTATTTGTGAGATGAAAGATTTAGATTGTGCCTTTTCTTGGCCAAATAAGAGTGAGTTTAGAGAAATCTTGTACCAGGCTCTATGCTGGAATGTTTAAGGTAGAGATGATAGAGAGCAGTTACCTCCTTACTCTAGACAAGGGTGATATATACATAACATGCCCTCTAAGGAGCTTAAGGCTCCGTCTTGCCATGTTGTGAAATGTTTATCTGGATAGTGGAAGATATATGAACCTAACAGGAAATGTCCTTGATGAACTGAAGTTGTTTTGCCTCAATGTTGAAGTGTGAGAAAGTTCTTTATGCAGGGGGTGGGGTGGTTCCATGGCAATGTGTTGCAATTTTGTGCGTGCTGGGCTTGTCTCTAAAGCCTGGCGTACACTGTGCGATTTTCGGGGCGATTTTCGAGGCATGCAAGAATCTTTCGATCGGGCCGACTTTCAGCCTGATCGTGCGTCGGTAGTCGTGTAGTGTAAAGGGGGTAACGAGGGGCAATTAGCCTCTCACGACCATCTCCTGATCAGGATTCATGAGGTCGGGAGAAAAATCAAACTTGTTCATGGGCAAATCGCTCGGGGCACAAAGAAGGATTCTTCTTCTTCTTCCTCTCAGATGTAAACACAGCAGCATGGCAGGTGCGAGTGAAATGCAGTTCTGTCAGTTAAATTGACAGACCGTAATAGCCACTCTAGTGAGCTTTATGTTCCTCTTCTACTCGTTTGGCTTCTGTATAGACGTGTTAGAGCAGCTCCATCTGGAGCTGAGTCCAACGTGGTTTTTAGTCATACAGTGTGAGCAGGTAGATCGCATCAGAGCATCGGGCCGAACATAAATCGTGAGCTGTGTACTCACATTGTACTACTGAACACTTTGGTTTAGTCATACAGTGTGACCAGCATCTGCATGCAAAGATTGAAAATAATCGCACAGTGTACGCCCGGCTTAAACAAGACTCTGGAGTCTGACGACAGGCTTTTTGGAGCCACTTGAGTAGCTGTGGGATGATTCATGATGGAAATTTGCCTTGATTGTTTTTGCAATTGTGAATAAACCTTCAGTGCCTCTAACTCTACTTCAAACAGCTCAGAAGTAATCTTAAAACCCTTTTCCATAACCAATGAGCATTTGAACTTTGTTAAAAATTCTTATTTCAAAAAAGGCTTTGAGGTAAACTTTGCTGTTTTCTCAGATTGTGTTTTAAAATGATCAATTATTTTCCTTTAAGGTTGATTAAGGTTAAGGTTGACGGATTGGATTATTTCCAAATCGTGTTTTCCTGATCACATGCTCTTCCCTTCAGGGGGCAGACCCTCCTCTGGAGCCAGGAGCAAAGACTCGTACGTTTTGGTCTTTATATATTTGGTGCTTTTGTTTCAGGTTTGGTCATGTGACAGTGAATGCGATGGAGCAAAGCATTGTGGATGTTAAAGCAGAGAACTAATATGTGGTTTTTTCATTGTGTCAAAAAAAGTAAGGAAATACATCATATATGATATGAGCAAAAATCATTAGGGTTAAGGGCTGGTTATCCTTTCCCAGCAATGTGTCGCAGTGAGCTTGTCGCAGATATTTTTGATTTATGCCCAATATTGAAGCGTGGTCTGCGCTATGTTATTCAATGCCACAACGCAAGACAGACAATCAGGAACTAGCTGTGGTGTCTAGATACGGCCGAGTCGGTGAGGGAGTGGAAAAAACGCAAGCTTGTGCGATAACGGCGGGACATAAGGGCCAAAATGAGTGGGGATCCAGGTGGAAAAAGGGTCTCAGCGCTCTTGTGCACCTCGCTCTTCTAGCTGGTCCATCTTCACGAGTCGTTTTCCACAATGGCGGTCATACAAACAAAGCAAGCCGGTGAGGTACCAAACAGGAAATATGCATAGTGTCGAGCGGATGTAGATTTGACCAATCAGGGGCCTTCTGTCTGCGGCATTGTCTGCGGTCAAATACAACAACAAAAAGAGAGGTGCACCAGAGTGTCTGTGGAAGGGGCGGGGCATAGGTGCGTTAACTGCGAAACACACGCAGACAACCTGGTTTCTGAGTATAAACCAACCTTTAGACTTTAAATACTGCTTTTAGTCTAGGAATTACTGAATAGAACCAAAATATATTACAGGCTTGATGTAACTAGGGCTGGGATTTACCTGCATTTACAATATAATCGCAATTACCAAAACGCAATGTCCAAATCGCAGAAGCACTTGAATTCTTTAATCACACTATATTTAAAGGTGTTGTTCATGAATAAGACCCGCCCTCCCCACTTTAAAGAAAATAAGCGCGCAAGAGCGTGCACAAGCCCGTTTCTCCTCCGCACGCTCTGTTTAAAAGTTGCAGTTCTCATAGCTCATACAAGCTTACTGTGCCCAAATGTCCACCCTAACCTCTAAATCCCTCAATCACTATATAGAGTGGGGACTATATAGTGAACTTTATAGTAAAGTCAGTTAACTGATCATTTGGAAAGATGATCCCTGCTTTTTGTTCCCCGTTGGTCATGTAACTCCTCATTCATTGCGCAGTGCCTGCGTCATTTTTGTTATTAGTCGCAGTTGTGACAGTAAATCCCACAATGCTTTGCGAGGAGAGCTCTCCATGCAAAGCATTCTGGGATATATCTGCCTCTTCTGAGGCCTTTCTCTTCTTCTCAGGCACTTCGTAGACACTTTTTCTTTAATGAGCCTCGGCCATTTTCAGAGAACCACATTGAGAAAGGTGAGCTTCAATGACTGAAACCGTAGCTCACCTAAGATATACGCCTAATAGTGCGCATGAGCAGAAAAATATAGCTAACGGGACGAACACGTAGATAGGCCTTATGTAAACATATCACCAGAATGATTGGTAATTAGGAGGACCACTTATTTAGATGATCCATTTGGAAATAAAAAATTGTCCTCTATACCTTTAACACGAGTTAGACCCTAAATTTCTTCCTCCAGTCATTTTTGTGGAGGTTAAAGGTGGTCTGTCTTGTGTTTGTGGAACTGTTAAAGGTAGTCTGTCGCCACACAGAAAGCTAGAGTTGTAGCTAGCATATAGATCCATGTATGCAAGCAGAAGTAAGCACTTTTTCACACAGTGGTTCCAGTAAAATCCTGAGACAATGGACTCTAGAGAAGCAAGCTTTCAAAAACTGAAAGCCAGGGTGAATCATCTACAAGCTTAGCGTTAATATCAAAGTAAAACGGCAATTTGCATTCCATTGGCAGATCATCTCATTTCTCTTCTCTAATTACAGGCAAATTCACTTTTAAGGATAACTTACTTTAGTATAGATCTGTTTTTTCTCCCATCTGTTTCTAAAGCGTTGAAAAACATCAAAGCTGCTACATCAGACCCATGCAGCAGTTTGGTGTAACCTCCTGGAGCTGCCAGCTTAATCCTTACATGTTTTTTAGGAAAAAAGGTGCCTTATATAGATCCGCTAGCTATAATATGTAATGGCCGATGTTGATATTTAGTTTTAAAGTTAGCCTCGCCGATGGCATGTTGATTATATCGTTCATCCCTCCTAGATCTATTAATGGATCTGTAAACATGTTATAAGTCCTTCAAAAGGGTTTATTTTTATTCATTAAGGGCAGGCAAGAGATGAAAACAACCATTTTTCTGCCAAATAGTGAGTCAGATCTGTCTTACTATTATATTTCATTAATGTTGTTTATATTCAACATTTCAGACTAATTTACTATGTTTAAAGTTATCTTTTTCCCTGTACAGCTCTTTCAATTGTCTTACTACTGAAAAGTCCTGTAAAATCAACTAAAATGACAACTGATAAATAAAGTTATGGCTGTTTGGAATCTGTTGTGTTTTTTCTTTTAGTCTTCAAGTTAGTTTAAATCATTTTAAAACTGCTGAAAGCCAGAGCATTTTATTATGTTCTAAAGGCTAGTTTTCTTCTAATGGACTGGCCCAGGGTTACTTTCAATAAAACATTCACTAGAGACGATTACCTTCCGGAAAGGACCGCACACACACAGCTTTACTTCATTTTAAGGTTAATTCATTTGCCATTTAGTTCAACTCCAACCAGAGGTTGTGTTTATGCCGGAAAACGTGGCATTTCCAACCGCAACGACATGTCTGAAATCTAATTTTTAGAGTCTAGTTCAATGACTAACTTTAAGTTGTCAAAACCTGAATGTGAACAACAGCTGAGTTTCCCCTCCAGTAGATCATGCAGCTATTTCTGGTTTGTTTTAATCATAAAAAATGAGCCTAGGTTGATGTTAACATCAAGAACACTGTCAATAAATGTGATCTCCGATCTGTCAGACCCTGGACGTACCTTTTAACCAGCTGAAGAGATGGGCTTCTCTTAGTCATATTGCTGCTGCACCTGCAGATGTTCTGCTGAAACACCACAGAGAAAGAGACAAAATTACTTAAATTCAGTTTATTTTCATAGAGCCAATTCACAACACATGTCATCTCAGGGTACTTTCCAGTTCACCAGATCATCCAATCATATTGATTCAAAGTTTTCTATCTATGAAAACCAGTTGATTGCATCGACTCATTGACTCTAAGGCAATTCCTCACACTAAGCATGCTTGTAGCGACAGTGGAGAGGAAAAACTCCCTTTTAACAGGAAGAAACTCCAGCAGAACCAGACTCAGTGTGAGCGGCCATCTGCTGAGGCTGACTGGGGTTCAAGGAGACAGAAGCAGAGATACAGAAAGCAGCCGTAAAAGGCGGCCCCGTCCAGGAAACACACAGCCAGGCAGACGAGCTCCGAGCCAGCTCCCATGCCAGAGGATGAAGAGAGCACATCCAGTCAGTCACAGTCAGAGAAACAGGACTACACTGAAAAACTGGCCGATCTCCAACATCTATAAACAAACATCTATAAATAAAGGTGTTGATGGCAGCAGCAAATATTATAAGACAAAGATCTCATTTCACCTTTTAAATTCAAGCCAGGGTTAAATAGAGCCACGTGGTTTTTCCTTAGGGTTTATTTAAGAAGTGCTAAATTAAACGGTAGGTTTTCAAACCGTTACAGGAAACGGAGAAGACTATAATAGTGACTCCAGCTGACAGGATGCTGTTGTGATATGAGCTGAATATAATCAGACACTATTTGCTGCGTTTTACTTGACATTCATTAAATATGGGAAATTATGTGATTGAATTATATATGAATAGAAGCATACGGCTGTGTGGAGGAAAAAAGAGAAAATTCTGACAAATACAAATGTATGAATCCACTAAAATACATTTGTTAAGATAAGAAGTAGTTACTGCCCTCTGGGAAGCGGCTTCGCAGCATTCGCTGCAGGACCAGCAGGTTCTGCAAAAGCTTTTTCCCTGAGGCCATCAGACTGTTGAACCGTTGAACTCTAAACTGGACTCTGCATCACACCTGCAACATTATTTTGCACTACCAATGTGGCTGAAACTTTTATAATCCTTTTAAATAGGACACAACTCAATGGTATACTGCATTTTGCACCGTATTTATTTTGCACTGCACTGAACCTTTCTATATCAATGCCCTCTTGCAACATTTTCTAAATTGGTTTCCTTTTCTCCTACACTGTTTACATTCTGATATTTGTTGCACTTTCTAATGGTAATGCTCATTTCTATAGTTAGTTATAAGCTATAAGCAACGTAATTTTGTTCTGTATACACTCAGTGTATACAAAATGATAAAAAAAAGTTTGGCTAAGTCTAAGTATACTGTCCATACTTTACGGAAAATTACAATTTTAATAGTCAACACCAACCATTCCAGTATTTGACAGTATAATATATGCCAGTGTATTTTCACAATTTTTTTTGTTTTGTTTTTATTTGTCATTACCATGAAACCACATGGGATTTTGAGGGTTTTTAAAAGTCTGTTGCCACTTGACAGTGGTGTCAAAAGTACACACATTTGTTACTTAAGTAGAAGTATAGATACTATATATCAACATGACCTGTTCACTCAAGTAAAAGTGAAAAAGTATGTGCTCCAAAAATGACTTAAAGTATAAAAAGATAAAGTAACCTTTAAAAAAAAACATACAGATGCCACTATATGAATTGAAAGCTAAATTTTTGGACTATTTTTAAAAATTCTTTGAGATAGGGCCAAGGATGAGGGAGGTCTTGTTGGTCTCCATCTCCTGATACGCTCTCGCCTGTGTCCGACCTTTCAGACATTTCAACATATTTTTCTAAATCCGACATTGTAGCATGGCATAGACAATTCATGTTTACAGTTTGAAGAACACCTGCTTGCTTGTGATGATTTCCTTTAGCTAACCAATGAGTGTTTGCTTTATATGAATCATCCAATTACACTAGTTTTCACTAGATGTGGATGGAGCCAATGATCTGCATTGGATGGAGCATATGACGTGAAATAAATATTTATGAACATAAAACCGAAGCTAAGAGTAACGAGTAACGTTTGTTTTAAAATATAAGGAATAGAAAGTACAGATACTTTAGTAAAAATGTAATGAGTAGAAGTCAGAAGTAGGAAGAAAAATAAGTAATGGAGTAAAGTATAGATACCTAAAAAGTGTACTTAAGTACAGCAACAAAGTATTTGTACTTTGTTACTTGACACATCTGACAATTGATCAATTACGAAAGAAGGAACTGAGTTCTGAGCTGTCCTGTTCTGTAGTTTAGCTTTTTAACCTTTGACCTTGTGATTTTGAACTGCAGACAAAAAAAAGAAAACAAAGGGGCAGAGATTAACATGTGTGGATAACACAAGGATTAAAAGCACACAGAGCATGAGGAATACACCTCCTACAGTGATCACTATTATAACAACAACACTACAACAGTGTGGAAAGCAAAAAATTATTATAGTTAAGAGCAAAATGCTAATTAGTTAGATAAAAATAATTAAGAATAAGAAGCAGCATATTTAGGATGAATATGTGGATACACTTCCCTCACAGTTATGAAATAATCAATGTGTTGTTTTCTTTCTTAAGCAATTGATACATTTGATACTAAATATTCAGTTTAAATTTCTGCTTTGTTTTTTATAAATCCAATGGATGGCCGTAAAACTGAAGCTTAGCTCTGTAGTTTGGACCCAACAACAAATATTAAACGATTTAACTGGTTAATGTCAGAGATTGATGAATAAACAATGAAACCAACAAAGTGGCTGTTTATAAACTAAATTATCCTTTAACTGTTCTAAATGATGATGATTATAATGACAACTGATTGCCCACGATGAGATGTATACCGAGTCTGCAATCAAAGAGAAGAAGATTGTTTAACAGAAACCTGATTTGATGATGTTATTTTTACCAGGCTGTTAGCTGATGCTAGTTAGCCAGCAGGCTAACTAACTCTCGGGCGTTAGTTCGCTAGCTTGTCTGTGCCTTCAGGGGCAGAGTCAGGGACCAGTTGACGGTAGTAAAGAGGATGTGTCGATAATAAAGGTGATAATGTAAATATAAAGCCAAAAACGGCCTTTCTGCTTCGGTAAAACAAAGACTTACTGTGCAGAGGCTAAGCAGCCGTTTAGCCAATCAATCAGCTCCAGGGAGGACTGGAGTTGTCAAAGCTGCATTTTTCTGCTTCTTTCAGCTCTAATCCCAGAGAAAAAAACCAAACCAGCTCAAGGTTCAGAGGAACTTCAATAACAGGACATTGGAGCGCCGTCAAAGTTCATTTTGCTGTCAAAAAAGCTTTGACTACAAAGTCTCAGTGACAACAGTGTGACCTCACCAGGAAAAACAACCAAACTTCCGCCCATTTGATACTTCACAATAAAAGCATCTATTCGATTAGACCTAAATCCACAAACAAAGTGACGGATGTGAAAGGAAGCAGTGCTAAGAAAGGAAAATAAAAGCTCCCAAGGAGTGGAGTGAAATTTGTTGTAATTATTGTTGCAAGCAAAAAAAAAAAAATTTTGTAAGTGTGAATATTGGGGGAAATGCAACCCGGAAATGAGAAAAATATGTAAAAAAAATGTTTTAAGATATGTTTTTTTTTTATTAATTTATCATTTATTTATCTTTTTGCTATTATACAGAAGAGGGTACAAATATCATTCTTAGATATAAAGTGATGTAGGGCTGCTCAGTGGCACAGTGGGTAGCACTGCTGCTTAATTCCCGACCCAGGGTCTTTCTGCATGGTGTTATGTTCTTCCTGAGCATGCGTGGGTTCTCTCCGGGTACTCCGGCTTCCTCCCCCAGTCTAAAAAATGAATGTTAGGTTAACTGGCTTGTCTTAATTATCCTTAAGTGTGAGTGTGTGTGAATGGTTGTTTGTCTCTGTGTTGCCCTGCAATGGACTGGCGACCTGTCCAGGGTGGACCCCGCCTCTCACCTGTTGACAGCTGGAGATAGGCACCAGCATCCCTTGTGGCCCTGCTTGGGATTAAGCGTGCCAGAAGATGGATGGATGGATAAAGTGATGTATTTGCAGCCGTTTTAAATAAACTTTTGTCTTTTTAATTAATAATTTAAACAGATTTAATCTTTTAGTAGGACTTTTATGATTAAATTGAGTAATATTTTAATAATGCATTAGTTAAATGATACATTTGTCACATATACTTATTTTAATTGTGCATTGATTTATTTTATGGGATATTATTTTGTATATCTTCCCCGACCCGGAGAAGGCACTCTACCCTTATTGGCTGAACACGATGGTCTTGGATTGGTGGCGCTGCTTCACACTTTGCTGTGAGCAGCTCTAGAGCCATCTGTAGATCATGACCTGATCAAGCCAACTGAACCACATCATCTGCAAAAGGAAGACAATTAAAAGGCCAACAAAAACCGGCCCCCTTAACACCTGTGCCTAGAAATTCTGTCTATAAATGTTATGAAAACAATCAGGGACAAAGAGCAACCTTAGCAGAGTCCAACTGTCTCTAGAAATGATTCTGGCTTATTGTCGGCAATGGAGTCCAAGCTCAGACACTGGTCATACTGAGACCTAACAGCCCTTCTCAAAGGGGCTGGTTTCCCAAACTGCCAGAATACCCGACACAGGATCCCCAGAGGGACGTGGTTTCTAACTATTCAAAGCACGCCTAGACTGGTTGGAAAACCTCACATGCACCGTCCAGGACAGTGGTGACCACACTGCTCCTCCTGAAGCCATTGTTTGACTATCCAATGAACGCTCCTCTCCAGAACCGCTGAATAGACTTTATCAGGGTCTAGGTCTGGTCTGTCCTTCCAGGGGAACTGCTCCTGATTTCAATGCAATATTGCATCTGTGTTAACAACACGACATCCAGAGCCTTAAGGAACCCTGGGGGGAGGAATCGTCCAGGTCTGAAGATCAGAGGATAATACAGCTGACAGCAGATATTTTAGAGGAAAGTTCTTTATTCTTCACATATCTGAACATGCATACATTACATACAGTTGAGATTGGTTATAAAAGATTTTGCTGACAAAAAAGAAGAGAAAAACTTTGGAAAAGTGTTTCTTCTGCCAAAATGGACTTTGTAATGATTTTTGCAATGATCCTTCTTCATATATATACATACATCTATATATATATATATATAGGAAATCCTACCAAGGGCTAGACAAAGCCAGACTGAAGGACAGCACAGAGGCTCTAATCATGGCTGCACAGGAGCAGGCCCAGATCTACCACATCAGACAAGACCCCAGGTGCAGACTATGCAACGAGGCCCCTGAGACAATCCAGCACATAACTGCAGGGTGTAAGATGCTTGCAGGGAAAGCTTACATGGAGCGCCGTAACCAAGTGGCTGGGATAGTGTACAGGAAGATCTGTGCAGCGTATGGCTGGAAACCCCAAGATCAAAGTGGGAAATACCTCCAAAGGTGGTAGAGAATTATCAAGAGAAGATCCTGTGGGACTTCCAGATACAGAAGAATGGTAATGGCAAACCAACCGGACATTGTGGTGGTGGACAAAAAGCAGAGGAAAGTCGCTGTGGTTGACATAGCAATACCAAGTGACTGCAACATCTGGAAAAAAGAATATGAAAAAGTAGAGAAATACCAGGGAAGAGCTAGAGAAAACCTGGAAGGTCAAGGCATCAGTGGTACCTGTGGCCATGGGGGCACTCGGGGCAGTGACCCCCAAACTTGAAGAGTGGTTACAGTAGATCTCTGGAAATACATCAGACATCTTAGTCTAGAAGAGTGCAGTTCTAGGAACAGCAAAGATACTGAGCAGAACCCTCAAGCTCCCAGGCCTCTGGTAGAGGACCCAAGCTTGGAGGATAAAAGGGGGAAGACCGCCCGCAATGGTTGAGGAAGAGTTTTTTTAAAATTATATTTCATATTTAGTTTTAAAAACCTATATTTGCAGATGACTCTCTGATTGATTACATCATTCTAAACATTAAATCAAATTTTGCAAGCCAACGATTACTCCATGCTTGAGTGGTTCTGTTTCACCACATACTTTTACTCCTAATTGAATAATACTTTTTTTTAGATTACTAACTTCTAGATTTTACTTGAGTAAAAAATGTTACAGAAGTGTTATTCTTACTTAAGTAAATGTTTGAGGTACTATATCCAGCGCTGTGTATATATATGTACTGTATGCAGAAATGCCCCCTTCCCCCATTTCAAACATCTTGAAATACCACCACTAGGTGGCGGTAGTAGCTCACCACATAAATAAAATGCACTATTAAAAAGCCCAAATTGTCCAAATAGAAAAAACAAACAAACAGGTATGCCAACATATTGCAGTCGATCAAACACTGATGAACACGTCATCTTAGAATGCATCAGAAAAAAAAAAAAAACATTTTTTAAAAGCTGGTCCAATTAAAGAGAAAATTTGTTCTCTATTATATACTGAGAAAAAATATGGCATACCGGTAATTATATTATAATCTTTATTAGTTTTATTTGCGTTTACGTTCCAACGACTTTCACCCTCATATCCAGTAGGTGGCGGTTAAGACACATCAACTTCATTTCACCATCGCATTTAAGTAGTAGAAGAAGAAGAAAAGTCCGACAGGAGAGAGAGAAGGAAAACAAGACCCATTCGAGATGGAAAAGTGACAAAAAAATTATTTTGACATTATTTTATCAGTTTTATAAAGATGAAAACATGGATGTCCCTGATAGAACCGGGCTGCCCTCCACCAAAGAGCTGTTTTCCTGTCTCACCGACTGTCATCAGTCTTTACTCACAGGATCGAGTCCAAAACTCAGCGACCATGAAGTCGGGAGGCTGATTTTCTGCGGAGTTTGTGGACAGGATCCGGGAGGGGACACACAGGAAGGCGCAGAAAGCAGCAGGTGGGAGCTGACATGCTTGAGTCTGACGCTGCTGAAGAAGATCTGCTGCTCGGTGTCTGATCGGAGCCTCCATGCAGACATCCTCAGCCTGCTGCTGGGACACATGGACCTCATGCCTCAGCTGGTAAACATCAGGCTAAAACAGCCGCAATGAAACACGCTAGATGACGTCAGTGGTTAATGCACGAGCCGCTCTGTTTCCCCAGGTGCGTCTCTTCCAGGAGGAGGATCAGGTGATCTCACACCTGGCTGCTCAGAGCGCTTCTGTCTGCGTTCTCTACCTGCTGGAGACATCAGTGAGTGGAAGAAAGATCAGAAAATACCAGGAGCCCTCAGTTACTGGGGCCTTATGACAGGATGAGTAGAAGGGCCATGTTAGAGATTTGATTTGTTCCAGAATAAAGTCATGATAACATTAGAATAAAGTCATAAAATTGAGAGAATAAAGTCGTATTATTGAGAGAATGAAGTAATTAAACTAACAGAATAAATTCTTAACATTATGAGAATGATATTTGGGCTGCTCAGCAGTGCACTGCTGCCTTGCAGCAAGAAGGTTCTGGGTTCGATTCCCAGCCTCATCCGTCAACAGCTGGAGATGGGCACCAGCATCCCTCACCACCCCCTCTTGGGATAAGCGTGACAGAAAATAGATGGAATGGATGGCATCAGAGGCGTGCACAGACATTTTGGGGGGCAGGTGCTCAGGAGGGGGGGGGAGGGCACTTTTTAGCGCACGCGTAACACTTAATTATAAAAAAAAATAAACGCATGTTGAATGAAATTTGACTTTTATTTGTAACATTCTCTAAACGTGATTTTTCAATGGAAAAAAGTCACATCACCAACAGAACAGACTAAAGCATACTTCTTTCATCTGGCTCATCTCCCTGTTTTCCCTCCCTCATCCTGGTCTTTTTCTGTCTCTGTCTTCCCTGAACTCTTCCTCATCTCCTGTCCTGGTAGATGTTGATGGTATAGAGCTTCCCTGCTGTGACTGGCTACAATATATTAATAATAACCATCATGACAATAATAATGATAATAATAATAATAGCTTTAACAAATATGCCACATTAGTTTAAATAATGGGCTATTAGGGCAACATGACTGGAAGTCTTGTCACGTGGATATGACTTATGGTAGCCTACAAAATAATAGCTATTTTAATACCTGCTGCACAAACCACTTAAAAATAAAATGTGAACAGCTTTTAAGATTTTTCAATATGATTAACCCTCCTTTCTTGGTATTGTGCTGCAATTACTAAATCAATATACAATTAAGACAATAAAGAGACCAAAATGTGTTAATTTATGTTGCCTAACAAAACCTATACAACAGAAAACGTTTGTCTTAACACATAGATTTGTACAGAAGAGGATTAGGGCCACTGGAAAAAAAAAAGTTAACTGATTTTTAAATTTTATTTCAGTTTAACATGGGAAAAAAGTCAGAATTCTGAGATTAAAGTCAGAATACTGAGCAAAAAGTCAGAATTATGAGAAAAAAGTTAGAATTATGAGATTAAAGTCAGCATTCTGACTTTTTTCCCATACTAAACTGAAATAAAATTTAAAAATCAGTTAACTTATTTATTTTTTTTTCAGTGGCCCTAATCCTCTTCCGTATTTGCAATTGCAAACTCTACCAAAATTATTTGTAGCCTATGTGTTCGTCCTCACGTTATCTGTCATTGACTTGGGCTACAGTGTAAAACTTTCAGAATCAGAATCAGGTTTATTGCCATTGTTAGTGAAGGAGTTCACAAACTAGGATTTTTTTATGGTACAATCGTGCAACATGAAACATACAGTATAATATGGAATAGGTAAATAAAATTATAAAAATATCTAAAAACTGTGGGTATACATCATGCAATAAAATAGACTAATGTATACACTTAAGATAAAAAATATGGATACAAAACATAAAAAGTAAAATAGCATCTTACAAGGAGACAACTAGTTTATCTGGTGACCAGTCGGCAAAATGCGTGTTTGGTGCTGCTGAATGAGACATTTTAATGCACAACAAAATGATTCTGCTTGATCTGTATATTACCTGGCTAATAGGGCACGTGAGAAGCAGCCTGTCAGCGACCGTTCCTGCTATCTGAAAACTGCTATGATGCTGCGCATCTGGCATGCCCTGCGGGCGACCGAGCGAGTTCACGTGACAAAGGAAGAGAGAGAGGCTGGTCGTTTGTGCGCAAGTAGGTCGGTCATTTCGGGGCATTGTTTCAGTCGTTTTTAATGGCTCAGGTTTTCAAAAGATCATTTCAAAACCGACCTCAGTAAAATCTTAATAATATTAATAATAATAATAAAAAAAAAAACGAGTTTCAAAAGGGCATTTTCTTTGATAGAGGGCAAACTTCCTAGTGCTTTAGCACCACCTAGTGTCTATGTGTGCACGCCCCTGGATGGCATTATGAGAATAAAGTCTTAACATTAAGAGAATAAAGTCTTAACATTAAGAGAATAAAGTTGTAAAATTTAGAGAATAAAGTCTTAACATTACGAGAATAAACTCTCAAGATTACGAGAATAAAGTCATAAAATTGAGAGAATAAAGTCACCTGCTTGGCGGAGCTCTAAGCTTTCTTTCTGAAACGGGTTATGGTATGATGAATTTATTCTCATAATTTTTCAACTGTTCTCGTAATTTTATGACTTTCTTCTTGTAAATGTGCGACTTTATTCTCGTAATATTGCGACTTTATTCTCATATTAGAAAAAAAAATCTCTAGCCTGGCCTTAATGCTCTTGTGTGCGAACAGCCTGCAGTACTTAAAGCAACACTTTAACTGTTCACCTTTAGGGGCGATAGACCTGTAATGTCTTTGCTTATTTTATTTGTTTTCTACCAAACTGATCTTAATAATAATAATAATACATTTTATTTAAAAAGGCGCCTTTCTGGACACTCAAGGTCACCGTACAAAAACATAAAAAGTGTCAGAAAAAATAAAAATAATAATTATAAAGACATTTAAAAACATTTAAAAAATACAGAGGCTGTGACGGTGAAATTGATATTTTTAAAGAGAATAAGCAATCTTGAACAGATGGGTTTTGAGTTGCATTTTAAAATGGAGAATTGAGTCCGTATCTTATAGGCTTGTGTACAATTTAATACAGATTGAAATGTTTTTTTAGAGTACAAATTAATATAAACAGTTACAAAGAATATAAAAGTCAGCCACCACATATAAAAATACAATAAATAAGCTAAATATCAGCTGGAGTGACGTTAAAAGAAAGATTCTCAGTATGAGGATGAAGCTGTCATGCGTTCTGTTCATTGCACAGTTTAAATAAGTCTGTTAAACATTAACATCTTTATGAAATAAAAATTGGTCTAGTTTTGGCAAATTTTGTAACTGTTTGTAACTAATTGTTTTGTTTAATTTAACAGAAATCAAGTATTTTATACTATTAAAGGGCTATCTATCTCTAAGCTGTTATGCAACCCCAATAAAAAAAAATGAACCTAAATTATTATTATTATTATTACATTCTCCTAAATATGAAATTTGGAGTTCGTAAAATAATCAAAAGGATAAATATTTATTACTTTGAAAGGAACCTCTTTCACCTTGGAGGGAATAATGCTAAAAAGCCATGACCTAAAATGATTTAATAAATCTGGAATGAAGATAAAACTTGGGACAAAAGTTACAAAATGTTGCTTTAGTCAGTGGCCTCATTATTATTTATAATTTCTTGTCATTTGAAGATTAACTTCCAACCTCTTCTTTATTAGTTTATTAAGCTCTTAACATCCACCTCGTTTTAGCTATGACAGTTCTAGAGCTGTAGGGTTTGGAACGTTTGGTGTCAGCTTTGAGCTGCGCGCAATGGCTCCACCTGCTGGTAAAAATTTTACCAGTGGAATTTTATGCATTCTGAGTTATTACTCCCACTTAAGGTCCACCTAGTCACCGGTGGGTTTTAAGCAGAGATGGCAAAAGTACTCACTTTCCGTACTTGAGTAAAAGTACAGATACTTGTGTTAAAAAATACTCTGGTAAAAGTGGAAATACTTATTAAACTTCTTTACTCAAGTAAAAGTAACAAAGTAGAGGGTTGTAATTTTACTTAAAGTATAAAAGTAAAAGTAGAAACCACTTTTTTCATGCCATTGCCTACATTTTAAATGGGTGTCTGCCAATAGGACTAGATCTCCGTTGTGTTCATTTTCAATCATCTCGTCGTCCATACTACTATGCTAACGCCACCGCCACCAAGCTGCAATGATTTGCCATGAATGAATACCGCCGAATCTGTCGATTCATCTTGTAGTGGTGCGTCAAATGCAACGTAGATTCCCATCCAATTAGATTGAATTTGGTATTGATGCTGTGAAAAATAATAACGGTAACTCCATTGAAATGATTCAAAACTAAAGTAACGAGCCAATTTTTTAAAATGTAAGGAGTAGAAAGTACAGATATTTGTGTAAAAATGTAAGGAGTAGAAGTAAAAAGTCGCCATAAAAATAAGTAGTAAAGTAAAGTAAAAATATCAGAAAAATCTACTTGAGTACAGTAACGAAGTATTTGTACTTCGTTACTTCCCATCTCTGGTTTTAAGAGGTTAATACTGTTTTATATTATAATTCAATGGTGTAATGACACAACAATAGGCCCGTAAGCAACATTATCTGGATGGGCCCCATATGAAGTATAACACGTGATAAAGGTTCAGGATACGGCGACAATTCCATAAATCGGCCAAGAAGATACAGTTATGTAATTCTCAGTAGTACGTATATGATCACACATCACACACGGAAAAATAGTGACTGCGCACCTTTAATGGAACCATTGGTGACAGCGCACCACCATGCTAGCACAACAAGCCATTGGGCTACCTTCAGCTTCACAGCACCCTCACCCACGTTCTCTCCATTCACCTCCTGGTCGCCATCTTTACTCACTGTAGCAGCAACATCCTCCTCTCCCTTCTTTGAAAGAATGTGTTTATATTGGGAAGTTTGTTTCGTTCTTCCAGCAACTCTTCTTTCCATTTTCTTTTCTGGAATCTGCTTAAGTACCTCTTAAGCAGATTCAACTATATACAACGCGTATCCAAACACATGCGTTTCTAAAAATTAAAACTCCGTGAACGGTCCGTTTGCTTCCTCGGGGTTGGAGGTAACAGGCAGCATTCCCTCCGAGGCAGGTCCGATGTGCAGACGCCTACTGTGCGTGGCCTTGTACTTCGACATCGCTTCTAACCGGGACTGCAGCTTAACACAGAGTTCAGTGAGATCCGGCCTACGAAATGGCGACGACCGTACAATCCATCCAGAGACACCGCCGACGACGCCATCTTCTTCGTCGGACATGAGGTCGACGGTGGCGGACTTACAGAGTTCCACTTCCTCATCTGCCAGCACACTCTGCCTCGCCTTCAGCAGCTGAAAAAAAAAAACATGAATCAGCGCACTGCATATGGACACAACACATCTATCAATGCACCTGAAAAATAGTCACCAAATAAAGTCTTACCCTCTTTCGTCTGGCCCGACTCCGAGCAGATAGCCTGGCAGCCTCCGCACGCAGCGTGCTGGCTAGCAGCGTGTATCTGAAGCTCCTGCATACCGTCTCATAATACGTCTTACAGGCAGCTGGAAAACAATTAAATGAGAGTGGTATGAATAAAAAAAAAAAAAATCAAACGCAAGTCACAGTAACAAGGAAGGAGAAAACATTAAAACAAGTCACATACACACAATGTCGTCTTTATCAACATCGTGCAAATCCGAGCAAATAGGAGGTCACCGCCTCATTGTGAGGCGACTGTAGTCTGTGAAAAAAAAAAAGTACAGCTATGGTCGGTATCCATCCGTATCCATGTCCTTTTACCGCAGAATGAAAGCATATTCTTTAAACCTTACCCCTGCCGGTTCATAGCGCCTGCAATTAGTCTCCGAGTTGTTAAGACGGCATAATGCTTCCTGTGAATCACAAAAAATACACTTTAGTAAAGCTTTAGGCTAGGCTGCTTTTAGCTTACCTAGCTAGGCTAGGCTGTCTTTAGCTTGCCTAGCTAAGCTAGGCTGCTTTTAGCATAGCTACCAGTAATCGAACATATATTTACCGCTAGCGTGGCGTTGTGCACCTGTCTTGTCTTCCTCGAGTTCGTATATCCCGCAAAGTTGCTCCCCTGCAGATAGGGTGGCCAGATGTCCGGCTTTAGGGCGGACAGTCCGGATTTTCATTGCACTGTCCGGCGTCCGGCGCTGCACCCAGCCGGACGTGTATTTGTCCTCCTTTACCCCCAGATTCCACATACTCCGTCAGCGCTCCGCCCCGCTCACGTACGGAGTACTTGTCTGTCTTCTTCTTCTTCTTGTCGAGTTTTATGGCGGTTGGCAACAAACTGTTAGTAGCATTACCGCCACTTACTGGTATGGAGTGTGGTTCGTGATGGTTTAAATATTGATCCTGATACATTCTACCCTAACTTCTTCTAAACATACATTCACACATTCACACTTAAAAATATAAACATATTTGTGCACAGCTTTGTATATCATTCCTTCACTCACAAACACACTTACTATAATTAAATTCTATGGAATAATTTCGTTTTCTTTAGAAATCGAATAATTATTTGTATGTGTTTACTCCCTAAATTTTTCCTCAGTATATCTAATAAATTAACCTTCTCCTTAATGTCTTCAAACTCTCTTCTCATATATCTTCTCTCTTTTTCATATTTATGACATTCTAATATAACATGTTCTATGGTTTCATATTTATCACAGAAATCACATTTGCCCGTTTTATGTTTTTGTATTTTAAAAAGTGTATGATTAAGTCCTGTATGACCAAATCTTAACCTTGTTATCACTCTTTCATCCTTTCTATTTCTTCTTCCATTTCTTCTTTCTCCTACCATCTTCTGAATTTTATAAAACCATCTTCCTGTTTTATCTTCATCCCACCTTTTTTGCCAAATTTCCATAAGTTTCTCTTTAATAATACTCTTTCCTTCTGATTTACTTATTTTAACTATAAAACTAATAGAATGTTTAATTGCCCTTTTTGCCATTTTATCTGCCCTCTCGTTTCCTTCCACCCCAATATGTGCTGGAACCCACACAAATGTAACTATCAGCCCCATGTTTCGTATTCTGAACAGTGTATGATTTATTTCTAATAAAATGTCCATCCTACTATCTGTATTACTTGTCTGTCATGTAAATCAATGAGAGCTGTTCCACATCCTCCGCTCGTCACCGCCCACGTACGTCTTCTCCGTCCTTCACCGTCAAAATACGGAGCTGAGCTATTTTTTGCTCCCCTCCGGTCCGTCCAGATCAAGACCCGCTATTGCAATCGCACCAAACAGAAAAAAGAATGTAGAGAAGACCCGGTTTGTCAAATTAAATTATAGTAAAAACAGATCGGTATCTAGAAATTAGAGCATAGTTTGTATATATTCCCAAAAACTAAAACAATAAATTTAGATTTTATTTCCTGGCAAAACATTCAATTCGGTTTATCCATTAAAGAAAAAAAAATTTGGAATTTTTAATCAATATTCTAATAATTGTAACAAAGTATTATATCCATAAATGTCGCTATGCAAAATGCTCCCTCTCAATCTCTGCTCTCAAAAATGAACTTTCCCTTTTCAAAAGATGTCTGAGAAAGATGCAGAATTTAAATGCAATTAAATTGTTTGAGTTAATTGAAGAATTTCAGTTGGTAGTCCCCACTGATTAATTTACTTTAACTACTATTATTATTTTATTTATTTTTATTTATTTTATTTTATTTTATACTTTGTTCCAGCCTGTGCATTTAATTTTATTTTTCAAAAGCAGGAGTTGTGATATTTCTTCTTGTATTGAAATATTTGTTATTAACTTGTTATTTGAGATTGTTATTGTTTTCTTATATATTCAATAACAAAAAAAAAAAAGTGGAAATCTAAAAAAAAAAAATTAACCATTACAGCCAACTGATTCTGATTAAAACTAATTTTTGAAGTAAATTATTTTGTGTATTTTTTTTACATAACATTTGCATACACAGTAATCTAGCGTACTTTAATTAAATAAATCAATTCAAGCTAAAATGTAAGAGTCTATAATTAGGCTATACTGAGCCTGATCTATTTCTACCATCTATTTGGGGGATATTTATTGCCACACTTTGGGCCACTTTGAGCCTGATCTCTTTGTATCAGAGATTTTCTTCCTCTGAAAGATGTCACTTGGGGTAAAACCCCCCCTGCAACCCTGGTTTGCATTTGTATAGCTCACAGCATGTTCATTTACATGTTAAAGCCTCCCCTAGAATTCCATGGGGGGGAGGCATGGGGGGAACACTGCCTAAGAAATTCCACGTCAATTTCTGACAATTTACGGGAGTTTTCGTCGAAGCCTGCAAATTGCCGTATACTGCCGCTAACCTGAAGTTCCACGACAATCTACAGTGCCGTATATTGACGAAAATCCCACTTTTCATGCAGTGTATATTGTTCTTTTAAGATCATTCTTGCGATTTGAAACATGTTATATGAGTGTATTTTTTACCAACCGTCTAATGAACTATACACAGTTATTAACATAGTAATTAAAAGTACAACTGTCTGCTTTGCTATTGGTGTTGTGATTAAATGGCTCACCATCATGTTGAAATCTGGCATGTGTTGCGGTATAAATACGGTCCGATGCGGTAAGTCACTTCTGTATGAGGTGGGTTTAAGAGGAATTTTTCGCACCATTACATCTGCAAAGAGACGTCTTTGTCTAAAATTGCATAGGGGCCCACCAGGTCTCAGTGACGGGGCCCATAAGAGGTTGTGGGCCCTTAAGCTACTGTTGTCTCTGCTTACCGATATTTACGCCATTGTTATAATATTTATACTTTCTGATTAGGAGTGCTTTTCCCCCCCTAAAAACTGTATATTCTATGTCTTCAGGGAACGGTGAGTCCTGCTTGGCAGGAGAAGTGTGTGCGGGTTTTCAGCAGCTCTCATCCTGGTCCTGAACTAGACGCCTGCCTCTGGTCGCTCACTAACGTCCTCAAAAAGCTTCTCAAAAAGTCACATCAAGGTGCGTCCTGTTTGGTTCAGTAGATCCTTAAATATACGCGGGTCTGATTAGGGTTTGGCATTGATAAGATTTTCAGAAAAAAAATCAAGATGTTAAACAAATTCAAAAAAATATACAGAATTTTTTGACATCTTTGTTACACTTTAAAAAAAAAAGATAACATTTCAAACAACAAATAATGAAAAATTTAAAACACTAATGTCTGAGAAAACAGTTACTTTTCAAACTTTTTTATTTAAACGTTTGACAAAGTTACATTTCTGCGTTGCACTTTGTTTTTATTTCCATCTACCAAATTAAACTATTTTCTGTTTGCACCAATAAAGGAACCAAATTCACTGCATATTTTTCTTCCATCAGCGCTCCTGGGAGACGTGGCGGCAGCGTTTGACGGCAGCCTGACTGCTTTTTGTTCAAAGCTGCTACATGAGGACAGGATAGAGGAGAGCTGGAGCGGAACGACGTTCTGCCTCCTGTTGGACCTGCTGGAGGCGCTGTCTGCGTCAGGATTGATCTGTGGAGCGGGGGTCTGCCTAACATGCCAGAAAATACCCATAAGCCACTCTGCAGCCCTCCTGATGGCCGTCAGCCGGCGCTCTGAGTACTTTGTGAAGAAGCGAACCCTGCTGCTCCTCAAGAGGGTTCTCCTTCAGAAGCCTGGAGAGGACTGGTCCCTGGAGGGGGTGCTGTCTGCTGTAGGGGGACGTTCCAGCTCCGACCGCAGGGTGCTGGCTCAGAGCGTACTGAAGGCCGTGGCTGATGGCTGGCTGCACAGCGTTCAAGTAGAAGACGCAGTTTTCTTTGGAGGGGCCCGACGGGGCCGAGAAAACGAAGGTCTGAAAGGGGATGGGACAATGCTGAGGGCGGTGAGCCTTATTCTTCTCAAGTCTGTAGAGCTTCACCTCCAAACGGGTGCAGAAGGTCAGAGTTTAATCCTTGAATTTATAGATTACAATTTGTTTCATCATTTCTGAAAATAGAATAAAGAAAATTTGGTTAAAAATACAATCCAGGAATTTGCAAAACCATTTTAATCAAATATGTTTGTGAGAGTAACGTCATCCTGTGTTCAGACCGCAAGCAGAAGGAGCAAAAACGCGCGTCCTCCTTCAGTTTTGATGCTTGTACCAGTTTAGTTCTATCATGCGTCTTTTGCTGCTCTGGCTGCGTGGTGGAAAAGTAGGTCTGATGCGTGTTGGGCGGAGCTACACTATGCTTTCTATGCCTGTAACAATGGCAGCTATATTTGCTGTGATCAGTGGGTAAAAAGTAGTTTTAATGTTTCTAAGTGAGAAAGTCCACCTAAGACATGGTCAGTTCAGTCAGTTCATCCAGATTACCATCCTGCCTTTAAACATTATTTCCCTGTCAGCGGCTCAGACCGCCGTACACTGGCGGTGCTCTGTCTCTGGGAATCCCGTTCAATGGCAGCCTCTGGCCCGGTCGCCTCTTGGCTACTGTTTGCAGCAGCTGGAAGTGGATGTTAGCGTTTTTCATGTACGTAATCCAAACTGAAGGCACCAGAATAGTAAAATCGAACATATTTTTCTAGCAGGTTTCTACATTTTAAGTTAATTTATGCGTTAATAAACAATTTCAGAGGAGTGATCATAGCGCTCTGCATCATCAGCAGCTCTGTGTCTCTCTCCCAGCCAGCTCCCAGATCAGCTTGATGTGGCGCTTCGAGCAGCAAAAGTTAACTTTTTCCAACTCTTGCAGCCGCAGCTCCTGCTGCGCCTTGATGCGCGTCAACCATTGACTTTCCATTTAAACTACCCTCTGCTGCTTCTGCTGCTTGCAGTCTGAATGTAGCATTACTTATTTCTTTTTAAACAGTTTTTTTAATTTTATTTTAATTAATTTTTTTTTTTTACAGATTTTGTATTTTCGATTTTTTTTTTCTTCTCAACATAATTTTTTTCAAATTGGTTTTTATGAATTGCATTCTTTTCAAATTGCATTTTTTCACCGATCACATTATTTTCACCTCTAGCCTAATCCAAACGATTGCTGTTGACTCAAACAATGATCAATAATAATATTGTTGCTAACGTCCAGAAGACAGAGAGAATTGTGTATTTGCTTGTTACTCCTGAGGAAAGCCCGCCCCCAGGAGTGAGGGGAGAATGGAAACGTAGACCAACTTGTAAACTGAATGCTTTGACTGTTTGCTCAGCTCTCTATGAACTGATGGGTAATATTATGTAACATTTATATGGTTTTAAAATCACTAGTTTGATCTGGCAACTGTTATTTCTTTGCTCCCTGCAGGAACGGACAGTGCGGCAGAGGTCAACTCATATCTACAGAGCCTGTGGAGCTTCTTGAGGCGCTGGCGTGCTGCTCAGGCTGAAGTCACTCACCCTTGCAGCTGGATCAGCCTGCTGTTTGGAGAACAGGATGATGACTTAATGGAAGCAGCCAGTGCTTCCCTTTCAATATTCCTCAGCTGCAGGTATAATGAAAAACATTATATATACAAACATTTTGCATTTAATATATAAAAGTTTTTCATCTGTCAATATGCTATATAAGGAACTCCTCAAGTGGAAACATTTTAGTTTAATTTCATAAAAAATCTTCTTTAAGGGACCTCGGGCTATCCGATTATGAATCGATTAATCAAAAAAATAATCGACACACAATAATCGATTTGCAAAATAAGGGTTAGTTGCAGCCATAGTTGACACATTGACTCAACCAACCAGAGAAGATGGTCCAATGGCAGGGAAGCAGTCGCTGCATCCAAGCTGTGATCTCTACTCCTGGAGAGCTGTCAGCATAAAACCATAACAACTGAACAAAAACATCTTTTCCGTCACACTTATCCCAGTGGTGCCTATCTCCAGCTCTACAGGCAAGAGGCGGGGTCCACCCTGTACAGGTCGCTAGTCCATCGCAGGGCAACACAGAGACAAACAGGACAAACAACCATTTGAGATGTATTTTAGTAGTGGGAGTTGTTTTCTGGTAAATGTTGTACACATTAGTGCTCCTTCAGGCTGAGTGGACTAATATTAATGGGGAATCTTCTCTTTCAGACGGTCTTCAGGGCTGGAGGATCATGCCACCATGGAGGCCGCCTGTGCCTCTGGATGCAACCCTCATTGCCACTTTCTGCTCCTGCTGCAGAGCCTCTCCTTTGATCACAGCATCCTCCTTGACTTCCTCATCTCCTCAGAGACCTGCTTCCTTGAATACTTTGTTCGCTACCTGAAGTACCTTAGAGGAGACTGCCGGGGCTTTACTGCAGCGTGTAAAGCCCTTTCTGACACCCATGGGTCAGAGGCTCGTAGCCGAGGGCTTCGGCTGGTAGAGTACGACAGTTCTGATGAGTCGAGTGAAGATACCCCTGAAAGAGACAAACTGTCTGGATCAACAGCTGCAGAAGTGAAGCTACAGAGTGAATCGGTGAGCTCAGCTGCAGCAGTTCTGTTGGATCAGGACGTATGCCCTACTTTGGACAGAGCTGTATCCTGTTTGTCGGACCTCAGAGAGGTGGTGACGAAGCTGCAGGCGAAGAAACTCTTCCCGTATAACCCCTCATCACTCCTGAAGCTTCTAGCAGCAGTAGAAAACCTTCATCAGAGCTCACCACTTTCACTTTGACAACAAGAAACGTCTAATGTAAAATAAACTATTTTGTTAAAACTATTGCTTGCTTCCTGAGTAAAATATTTTCAATTAAATATATTGTATGTAGAGATAAGATTGTCACCAAAAGCCCCTTCTGTGATTCTGGAGATCCTCAGAAAAGAAAGGACAGTTTATTAAAGCTGCATTGTGTAATTTAGCAACATCTACCATTAAATTAGCTTTACCTATGTAGTCAAGTGATGACGAGGTTTGTTTACATTAGATCACAGCATAGAATCCATAAATTATTCAATATTGTTGTATATGTAGATTGAGTTTGTATCATTGAGTATAAAAACTAGAAAATTATTTTGACAAAAGATGAATTTGGGAATCCTCTGAAGAGGTTTGTGGGTGGCATTTGAAAACTGTATTAGCCCTAGAAGGACTGTTCATCATCCTACCTCCAGCACAGACACTGAGCAGCGGCTGCCTTCTCCCATCCCGCTCTGTCCACCTGCAGGCTCCTCTGATCCTAACTTGCAGTCACATTAGAGCACAATGGTGATCTCTTACTCACTAGTTTGTCAGCTCTGAGCTGCCATAAGGCAAAAGATGTCTGCCTCCACAAATGGGACCCAAATCCTATACCGTATTTTTCGGACTGTACGTTGGAGTTTAAGTCGCATAGGCCAAATAAATGATTTATGAAGACTTAAAAAAACATAAATATGTCGCACTGGACTAAAAGTCGCACCATTTTGAAAGGTTATTCTATCCATGGAATCCGTGTATTCTGATAACTGCCGCCTGGTGGCTTACTGCTTGAGAACCACATTGTTATATTTCATGAACGAGCATCTGAGAAGCAGTGATAATCATTCAGAGCACTTTATCATATCAAGATTTCAACATTAGAGACAAAAAGTTTATCTGGAAAGAAGAAATAGGCCTATTTTAAAAAACACAAAACATTGCTGTTGTAATGCTAATTTGTTTTGTTGTGGTAAGTTGTAACGTTTTTTCTTTCAGTGGTATTAATAGAATACATGTTGCGCGCAAAGCTACATAGCGCCCTCTCGTGGTGAAAAAAACCTATATATGTCCCACCAGAGTATAAATCGCATGGCCAGCCAAAGCATGAAAAAAAGTACGACTTATAGTATTAAAAATACAATAATTATAAATAACATAATAAAGGCAAGGCAAACATAAAGATAGAGACTCAGTTCGTAGATGAAAATAAAATAATGTAATTATGTAAAATATGTTGCATTTCTATCAGTAAATGTAAATATCCTTCAGGATATTAAAGGTAAACTTTAGTTTAAAGAAGTGCACCTTTTTAGGTCTCAGTACTAAGTAGATTTGAATGATTAATGACAGTTGCTATTTTCTGAAAATGTATTTGGGGCTGTGGATAGGGATTTTTATATACTGCCCTCCTCTGGCTCCTGTGCTCAGTGACATCAGGTTAACTTTTTTTTACATAACCGAGGACCTTTAGAGATGTGAGCACATGTCATTAAACCTAAATGAACTCAACCAAGAGAGACTGATGGAGTCAGGTGGACGGTAGCTTTAAAGGTAGTTCTACAATTCATGGGACTTTAGAAGAAAGAGGAATCTGATGTATCCCTCAGCCAATCCATACAGATCAGACTGGGTTTATCCTGCACAGATAGGTGCACATTACAAGACCATCTTTACATGTACTAAGTAATATCCAGAGGAAAAAAAATCTACTTAGTTGTTTTTGTATGCAGCCCAGGGAAAATTTGGCTTACACAAAAGTTTTGTCGGTTCCTTCTGTAATAAATCCACAGCCAGAGTTATTAATAATTGGCATTTATTAAAATCTATTAAGATAGAAAGAGGCACAAGGCATCACCACTCCAGTCTTGTACAAACATTGACTCAATGGGTTAGGCAGATTTAAGAAATAACAAGGTCAAAATTGACACTGACAAACACAAGGAAGCATTATATGCAGATGACATCTTAGTGAACCTAACTGAGCCCTATACTTCTTTGCCAGAACTATTTAAATTATCAGAGCAATTCGGTAAATATATTTATTAAATACATTTTAAAACTAAACTATAATCCACTATCAAAACTGCAAAATATTCTCCAAGTGAACTGGGACAGAAATGGGGACTGTTGACCTAGTAGTCTGTAGTCTGAGATGAATACAAGTACCAGGTTGGATCCCGGGAGCCTCCACTCTGGGTCTCTGAGCAAGACCTTTCACCCCACACTGCCAGTGTGCGTGCCAGTGGGCACGCACACTGGCAGCCCACTGCTCCCCAAGGGGATGGGTTAAGTGCAGAGGTGACTTTCTCCAGTGTGAGATCAATAAAGTTAATTTATTTGTTTTGAATTATTATTTATTAATGCTGGTGAAGATTATCTGTCATCCAGGTCATAATCATTCCAAAAAAGTAAAAAAAAAAAAATCCACTGGACTTTGTTTCCAAGGTTGAAGACGTTTCTCTTCCCATTCAGGAAGCTTTTTCAATTCAAAATGTCAGAAATAGCATCGAGTTTGAGGTTTTGTACCGTAGCCCAACAAAGCCTTTAGAAAACATGCAAATTGAAACGGACGAAGGGGTCCACCCCTTTGGAATGGCGGTCATTTGGCTTCCTTTATTAGCCTGCAATGCATCGTACCTGTTTAGATAGGCATGGGGCAGACAGGTATTTCTGTCTAGAGCTAACAGAACTGGCAGCATTGTGAGGCAAGGGCTAAAACATGTACGGCTGTAACACCAAACCAAGCTTCTGCCGCCCTGGAGTCCTCTTCCACAAGATATTCATCCCCACTTTCCTCATCCATGACCTCAGACACAAAACTCTCCTCTTGCATGTTTCCGCTGTCCATAGCGTTCCTTGACAGGGTTGTGTCTAAGTCACCAATTAGAAACAAGACTGTCTAAGTCACATTGGGACCAAGCACTAAGTTGCTAAGTGGTTAGCAAGATTCCGACAACCCGGCCACAACCATACTTGCTTGCGAACCTTCCGCCACAACAATCCCACCCTATTGATAAACCCCATCACATTCACTTTATACACTCGTGTAAAGTCGTGCATCACTCGGGAGAATTCGGAAATGCAACGGTTGGAACAGCAGCTTCCCTGCGACTTTAAAACCTGTGGAGTTTAACCCCTTTATATATATATTCAATTTCTATATGCTGAAAGTTCTGCATAAGTGATCACAGGTTGCATGGTGCGTGTGTGCCAGAGAGAGAGGGAGAGCATGTTTCATTCCATTCCAGCAGCAGTGCGTTTGTGCCAATCACCATCCAGTGTCACTCCCAATGAAGTTAAACTGGCAGCTATGGAGGCCATTTTGATTGAAGGGGGAAAGGAATAAATAATATAAAAAACGAAAAGCAGTTGTTCCAGTGACAACACAGACACACCCCATGTGCATGGCCTTTTTTTCCCTTTTTTTTAAAAAGAGAACTTTATTTTTATTTGCACATCTTTTCAGTTGGGTTTTCCCAAAATGAAAAATATTTATTTTCGGGGGACAAAGGTCAATAGTTTTGTTATCAGATCCAAGGAAAAAAAAACCTGCCTAAGTTTTATAAATGGGACATGGAGGAAATTAATTTCATTGATTGAGACTTATTTTGTTATTTCAGTCACCCAATGTAAATATATATCAATCTACATTTTGTGATGTATTGCTTAGAATAGTATGATAAAAAGCATCGAACTCTAAAGTCTTCGTTAATACCCAGCACTATTATGATATTCAGTTTACACTGCAATTTCTTAATGTCTTTGAGGCATTTCAAACTGGTCTAGAAAATGTTTAATAATAATGTATAAATGATAATCCTTTATTTGTCAAAAGCATGGCCTCTGTTTTTAGCCACATTTTTCAGTGTATAAAAGGTTTATCTACAATAAACACCAACAAATCCAAAAAGTTCAGGCTCCTTTTTATTTTATTTTTCTGCTTTAAGCCCTGTAACTGGCTACATTATTTTCTTTATTGGTTATATTTTTTTAAACAACAAAGGTCAGAACAGATCCCAATAACAACCCATGAGTTGATAAAAATATAAAACACCTTTTAAATCATAAGAGCAGCTTTCAAAGGGGGGGATACACTGAGGGTAAGAGAGTTAGAAAAATAAATAGATAATATTAATAAGAAATGAAAACCCTTATTCTATAAATAAAGTTGAAAATAAATCGAGTAAGGGTGACTGGAGGGGGGCTGAACCAAATGATGGGGAAGAAACAAAAGGCAGTACATTAAAAACTCTGCAGCTAGGATCCTGATGAGTGTGTGGAAACATGAGCACATTATCCCCATTCTCCATTCATTACACTGGCTTCCCATCTCCACTGGGTTTGGGTACAAGGTTTCCCTCCCTCCTCACACAAGAATGCTTCCATGGACATGCCCCCCCCACCTCAAAGAACTTATCAACCCACAAAACACAACCCGCTCCCTTTGCTCCACTCATTCAAATCTCCTCCACATTCCCAGAACCAGACTCAGGATAATGGGAGATATGGCATTTTGTGCTGCTGCCCCACATCTGTGGAATGCCATCCCTGACAGCTTGAGGGCACCTTAATCCACTTAGTGATTTAAAAAAGGCCTTAAAACATTTCTTTTTAGCAAAGCTTTTGGTCCCCTTTAGATGTTTTTCTCTCTTGTAAAAATAGGTTTTTTATGCTTTTCTCTTTTTTTTTCCGTAGTACTTTCAGATCTTTTGATGAAAAGTGCAGTATAAATTAAATGTATTATTATTATTTTTATTGCAGGTTTTATAAGCATGGTTTCAGTAATGGAACTGACTCCTTCTGTGCAAATATAGGAGCTAATTTGGTATCAAGGAGGTTATTACAAAAATTCAGATGAATCCTCATAAATCCATTGGTCCAGATGACATTGGGGGAGGAGTTCTGAAGGAATGTGCCACACAGCTGGCTCCCTGTATTCTAGCAATTTGTGGGGTTTCTCAACACTGGCTTTGTCCTGGAGGCATGGAAGACATCAGTTATTGTCCCTTTGCCCAAAACATCTAAAACTAAAGCTCTAAAAGACTTCAGACCAATCGCCCTTACATCTGCAGTGAGCAAATGCATGAAGAAGCTGGTTAGTGACAAACTCTTATCCATATCAGCTGACCATATGGATCCCATGCAATATAGGCTAAATGACGGGGAGAGAATGCCATTCTTACTCTCCTGGATCAGGCACATAGCCTTTTAGACATACTTTGAACATGTGTGCATGTTGTGTTTATGGACTTCTCCTCTGTTTTAAACACAGTTTATCCTCATATTCTTTTTAAAGCATCTAAGTGACATAAATGTCTGCATCCTTCCGGTGCTGTGAATAAAAGTTTCTGAGAGGGAGACCCCAATGAGTACGAGTTGATAATGTATGCAGAATCTTGAAAACTGGTGTTCCACATAGTTGTGTCTCTAGTTCTCTCTGTACACTAATGAGCTGCATTTTAAGAATAGTCACCTTCTTTTTATTTAATTGTTCCTTATATTTATTTATTTATATATATATAAAAAAAAGAATAGTCACCTTGGCTCATTAAATGCTGATGATATTGCATCGGTAATTGGCCTTGTAGGTGCTGACAGTTCACCTTACTTTCACCAGATCAACCAGCTTTCCTCCTGGTTCAATGACAGCTTTCTGGATCTTAATTTCAGTAAAACCAGAGAATTATGTTGGGGGAAGGCTGGGAACAGCAAGAGCCAGGCCGTCTTCTTAGCCTATTGTCATGGGAGGACAGGAAGTGAATCAGGTCACCAATTTTAAATACCTTGTAAACAATTATAAGCTGTGTTTCCCTTCAACTAAAATATGGATTTCAAGCAAACGTTTAGAAGTTTAAAAAAAAGGAAATGAAAATTTGTGGTGTTTTTCCATTTGGTTTAAAGCAAATAACCATCCGTCCGTCCGTCCGTCCGTCCGTCCGTCCGTCCGTCCGTCCATCCATCCATCCATCCATCCATCCATCCATCCGGGTCTTGGTGGCGCCAGTGCCTATCTTCGGCAGTCTATGGGCGAGTCACAGTTCTGTCGCGGTTACTAAGCACTTAAAATGTAATCCAACACATCATACAGTACAGTACATTTTCACTTATAGAGGCTGGAATCTGGCACGGGTCACAGATCAGATTGAGGAAAGTTTTAATGAATGTGTTACTATCAGGCTGTTGTTCTTACTAAAACATTTTTTGATGCGATACTTCAAAATGCACATTAGGAAAAGCTGATGGAATGGCACCTATAGATAAGAAGCTGGACTTTCACTTCAATGCAGGAAGGCTATTGCATAGGAAGGCTATCACATCTTTCTTTAAAGAAGTTAAATAGTTTTAATTTTGGCAGGATCACCTTACAGTTGGTGTATAGACTTATTGAAAGTCTTTCTTTCAACATAGTCTCCTGGTATGCAAATCTTTTAGTGAAGGAAGAGAACAAGTTGAATCAGGTATTAACATAGTGATACAGATATACAGGCACCCAGCTCATTCTTCAGCTGTTGCCATCTGGTAGGAGAATCCTACTAACAAAGACTAGCAGGTATAAAAACACATTTGTTTCCCTTGCTGTGACTTTTTCTGAATAATTCGATTAAACTCCCATTAATCCCAAAGGGACATTCAATAATACTAATCATTATAATTTTAATTAGGCACTCCTTATATCATCATTGTTCTCAATATATTTATTTTTACTTTGTCTTTTATGGAACTGTTTAAGTTTAGGTATTCTTTTAGATATACTTTCTGTCTTTTTATGTATGAACCACCGCCAGATGTCAAAACTTCCTCTCAGGAAAAGGGATGGACAACAAAGTTATCTTTATATTAAACTTACATTTTGACCAAATTCAGGTTAAACCTCACTCGAGCCACTAAATGCAGTCTAGATTCATATTCATTGTTCAAAGAGACAAACTTTGGCCGTTTCTCTATATGTGTACTTGTGCGTTCTCATGTGCTTGTGAAACGTCCTCAGCCTCAGCCCTAGTACTGTTTCGATTCACAAGAGCAGCAGACAGAGAACGGACAAAGTCCCTGGATGCATCCCAGCATGCATCAGAGCAGACTTGTCCGTTCTTGAGATTGACAGCTGTCCCAGCATGCACTGCGGCAGCAGCGGCTTTCAATGGAGCGCTAACAGAGCTCAGAGTATTAAGTTAAAAGTTTTCTTTTCTGTTGCCGTTGTTTTATAAAAGTACATTTTAAGATAATTTAAGGCAAGAACATTATAGGTTTAAGCTTCACTATGTGGCCCATTTACTGATTCAATGTGTAATTTAAAAAAAGTTCAGATGTTGAAAGGACCGCGGCAACCAGCGGACCTCCAAGGCTAACCACAGCCAGGGCTAACGTTTGCAGCAGCCTCTCTCTGCATAGCCATGTGTGAAGGGCCGCTGGCTATGATGGCAAAAAAAATTTTTTATTTGGAAAAATATTAATTTGAATTTTGTTTTTCTGACTGTGTTAATTATTATTTCCCCACTAAATGAAAAAAGTAAGAATTTATTATTATCCAGACCAGTAATTTTAAACGTTTTCCGGGCCAGGGACCCTCAAACTGAAACAACATAATTATATATATATATTGTATGAAATAGTGTTATAACACACTGGTCCTATAGTCACTATAACAGATGGAGTAATTTCTCCCTGGTATTATCAAAGTATTTCTGATTCTGATTCCTGGTTGATGGGACAGGTGTTGTGAATTAAGCGATGCCCAGCTTGAAAGAGCTCCTGTGTGTCGTTGAATGTGTGCATTGATGACCTGCCTCCATTTATCTGTTTACTACAGTGTGTTGAATTCATACATTTTAATTAGTGAAAAAATTGCAGTGGGGGAATATATAAAAAAAAGTCTAATAAACCAAATCCTTCGAGACCCCCATGCAGTACCTCAGTGGACCCCCTAGGGGTCGTGGACCCCTGTTGAAGACCTCCGATCTAGACTATTAATAACTGGAGGTGAAATGCAGCTTCAGACGAGCCAAGCGTGTGGTGACGTCACTGGTACGCTCTGTTCCAGTTGACCCATGTCTATGCTGGGTGCTCCTGTTCTTCCCAAGTCCATACTTTCCTGTGTTCTTCTCAAGAACGTACTTGGCGAGAACATGAGTCCGTACTCACGTTCTTGTGAACGAAGAAACGGGCAATATCAGACACTAAGTGACAGACAGAATGAAATAAAAGTGAGGAAAATCTCTAATCCCAGAGTTCATTATCAGGATCCAGTCAGGGCATCTTTAAACAAACTGCTGCAGCTTCAACCTCTGTGGATCAGCAGGACGCAGATCAGCTTCTCTCCTCTACAATGATCATCAGCTCCACTTCCTGCAGGGAGCAGAAAGATGAGAAGAGGAGATCAATGAGTGTTTCCAGCTTCTTTCCATCATGTATCAGTCAGTGATGCAGCACATCCAGGATAAAGAGAGGCAGGAACTTCAGTCCTGTTCAGAGCATCTGTGGAGCAGCTGGACCCACTCCAACCATCTACTTACAGATACTTTAGTTTGTAGTCTGGACTCTCTAATAGATGTTGCAGCTGCTGAACATCTGACTCCTTCAGGTTGTTGTAGCTTAGGTCCAGATGTTCCAGATGTGAGGGGTTGGACTTCAGAGCTGAGACCAGAGAAGCACAGCTGATCTCTGAAAAACTGCAGCCAATCAATCTGGATAAAGAATAGAAAGATGTGAGCTGATCCAACAGGATGGAGGTTAGAACAGTCCAACAGAACTCTCACTTTCTAAGACTTATCATACTTACCAGGGAATTCTTTTACATGCTGTAGAGCCATTGTTTTGATGCATTTCAATATGTAAGACATTATTACAACCCTTACACCTCAAATTTGAATAAGTATTGTGTCTAAGTCTAATCTAACTAAATACAATCCTGAAAAGTACAATTAACCAGAAGAAATTTTTAAATAGTTTATACACATATTTATCTCTATAGCTACAGATACATCCCAGCTCTTTTAATTTTTTTATTAATCTAGATTAATCTCACTGTAATCTTGGAAGTAACCTAGAATAATCTAGATTAAAAAAAATAATCTATGCCCACAACTAGTGTTTATACATATTTTTTAGTTATTTCAAATGGAGACATTCCAAATAAATTTCCTGTGGTTTGAAATGACTACTTTTTCCATTTTTAAGGGCTAAAACTGTGATTTTTCTGCATAGAGAAAAATATCTGTATAGTATATATTGTTTACACAAACATAAATACACATTCAGAGCAGCCCCCACCTATTCTGACCACTTATATGTGATGCTAATTCCTGCATACAGCTCCCTGCTGATCAGAGCAAACCCCTCAGTGAAGCAGGTGAGGATTGGACTGAGGAGGCCATGGAGGCATTACTTACAATACTGGAACCACAGACACTACACTGAAAAACATTTGAAATCTATTTTTTCTTGTAATAAATTCATCTCATTTTTTCTTGCAATAAGTGCATTTTTTCTTGAATTTAGGAGGTAATTGAGACACTTTGGCAATGGAACAAGACAATTTACATTTAAAATAAGAAAACACAATTGCATTGTCTTATTTCAAGTGAATTTTACGTAATTATCTTATTTTAAGACTAAAAATACTAATTCCTTTGGCAAACTGTCTTATTTACCTACTCAAATGAATGGTAAATACACTTAATTTAAGAGATTTTTGCTAATTTCAGATCGTTTTTGCAGTGTAAGTAAAGGTTATTTTTCGATCTGATCGGAGGAGCAGTGAGGGACCTTTTGACAGTTCCAACCTGATATCAAACAAAAAGGGATTTTACACACCACACACATGAAACAAATGCATTTCCTCACACACAATCATTAAAGGGTACTCTTGTATTTAAAACTTTAGAGACCTTTGAAATATGTATTTATTCAACTTTAATTTATTTTTTGTCCCAATTTCATTTTAAAGGGCAAGTAAGTTCCTTCTAGATTCATGAATAAATGACTTTTTAGGACCTTTGAATGACCCACAGGAACCCTGTTCTGTGAGTAGTAACCTGCTCTTCTAATCAACAGTGTTGGGCACGTTACTTTGAAAAAGTAATTAGTTATAGTTACTAGTTACTTCTCCCAAAAAGTAACTGAGTTACTAACTGAGTTACTCCACAATAAAAGTAACTAGTTACTAGTAAAAGTAACTATTGCGTTACTTTTGAGTTTCTCGCCCCCGTAAACCTCACCACCCGGCCCCCACCTTCTCGCCGTGTGTTTCCAAAGCCAGCTGAATAGAGCGAACGACAAAGACAAGAACCTGCAGACAGTTTAGCATTTATTGCAACTCAACGTAAATGACATCAGGGGGGAACGCCATGTGAAGTTTTATAACAGGACATTCAGATCCGGTGAGTGAATGAAATTAATAACTGGGGATGTCTAATTCTGAAATCTGTGTGTTTGGGTTGTTATAGATACTGCAGCATCTATCTATCCATCTATCTATCTAGATGTATACTCTGTATGTGACATAAAATATGGATCTCCATCCCTGCCACAAAGGCCATCAAATAATGTTTAAAATAAAAAATACAGTAGGTTGAGAAGGCAGAGTCTCCATCCATCCATCCATCCATCCATCCATCCATCCATCCATCCATCCATCCATCCATCCATCCATCCATCCATCCATCCATCCATCCATCCATCCATCCATCCAGATTTCTCCCTTTCTCCATATAGGCTATCATTTCTGGCTGTTGTCAGGTTCATTTGATCGTTCACGCTCTCCATAGTTCTCCTGTGGCGCGAGCACAGGGCGACTGTTGCGCGCCTTTAGCGAGCATGCGCGTTTCCTGTCGCTTGCGCGGTGACTCTTGCCGCCTGCGCTGTGTGGAGATGCAGAGGAAACCGTTATGTGATGGGGAAACGCAGCTCTACGTAACACCGGTATTTCCATCTGGAAAACGCTGTTTTGCTGCTGGAGTCATCCTCGCTCTCCATCTCTCTGTGTGTGCTGTACGTTAACACCCGCCAGCGGAAACACCCACCTACCCAACTGACAGACGGAATCTCATCCTCCCCTCTCTCATGACAAGGCGCGCACCTCTTGATGACCTAAAATAAATCTTTAATATCTCTTAAACAAAAGTAGCACAAACTATATTTTTTTCTGCACAAATCTGCACTAACGTTGCACTAACCATTCAGTCTATTTGCAGAGTTTTTTGGCGTGGGTGGGGTGTCAGCTTCACGCAGCTGCGCACGAGTCCTATCATGAAAAAAGGTTCATTGTGCGACCTGAGTAACGCGCAGTAACGGGGTGTCTGCAATGGTAACTGCGTTATAGTTACAGTCAAAATAATTAGTTAGATTACTCGTTACTAAAACAAGGTAACGGCGTTAGTAACGGCGTTAGTTTCAACGCCGTTAGTCCCATCACTGCTAATCAACCATCTTATTAACCCTTTACTAGCTCACCGATTTAATTTCACAATGTTATGCACTGTGGAATGTTATTAAAACAAACACATAAACTACATCTCACGTAAATGTCTGTAGTTGGCAGAGGGGAGACACGAGAAACCCACTAAGCTCCTTTATTCCAGTGTTCAGGTCCATTCCTGCCAGGTCCAGTTCTGTCAGATGGGATGGATTAGATCTCAGAGCTGAACCCATAGAAACCCAGCTGATCCTTGACAATCTGCAGTCAATTAATCTGAAAAAGAAATAAAAGTACTAAAATACTTTGTTACGATACTTAAGTGCACTTTTTAGGTATCTATACTTTACTCCATTACTTATTTTTCATCCTACTTCCTACTTCTACTCATTACATTTTCACACACGTATCTGTACTTACCATTCCTTACATTTTTAAAACAATCATTACTCGTTACTCTTGGCTTCAGTTTACTGCAGAAGTCATAGATTAGCGAACCGCGGTCCGGTGTTATGCCGAAAAGTGCATGCCTGCCCAGATATGCATCCCCAGTGGCAGTGTACAACTGCAACTATCAACGAGGGAAACGGATTGAAATATGACCAATGGAGCTACTTGTTGTTATATTAATGATATAAAAAACGTTTAAATATTCCCCTCATAGGAAAAAAAAATGTGGTTATTTGCAGATTCATTTACAAAAGTATGGGTGCTATGAACATTTAATCCAAAGATTTTGTCCGAGGTAAGGCTGATTTATTTGTGTTATTCACACACAACAATAAACAGTGATAGCCGATGTGTTTTTTGAAACTGCAAAGCTTTGTCTTAAGCGGAAAATCAAACGTGCATCTACACAGCACAGCGTTCACAGACCAGTGTGATGCATTCATGAGCATCAGATAGCTATGGTGCAATTAGGAGCATGGGACATTTCACACTTGCAAGGAAAGAGACCTAACTGAACAGAACTTAACTCATACAATAATGTATTTATTCAGAAACAGTGTGGGCTTTCTTACTGTACAATACTGAATGCTCTATAATTGTTTTTCTGTTATTTTTTGATTATGTAGATCTGCTAGCTTTTTATTCTAAAAAATCTATAATATTACAGCAGCAAATTATCAAAGTTTTTCAAAAGCCTGTTGAAAAGCTCCTAATGAGGCTTCAGACCATAAAGGAACAATTGTGCTGTCATTGTTTTACAGGCAGAATTTGTATTTGGTGACCCTTGTCCTTTAACTACTGCTGGATATACAGGAATACATTCATACAACTGTCAACTCCTCTGAGACAGCACGGGATGCAATTTTTGGCAATTTCTATTCATTTCTTTAATTTAAAATTCAATGTATGACATGAATGCATAAATACCTCATTTTATTTCATTGTTAAATTCTGTTTAAATTAACAGATTATAATTAAAATGTGTCAGAACCTTTACTGGTTGATGATTTTCTTTATTCGGACCCCACTGATTTTTAATTGGTTACCCCTGGTTTAATGTTTATAAACATCATGTGCGCCATCCAATGCAGATCATTGGCTCCATCCACATCTAGTGAAAACTAGTGTAATTGGATGAGTCATATAACGCAAACACTCATTGGTTAGCTAAAGGAAATCATCAGAAGCAAGCAGGTGTTCTTCAAACTGCAAACGTGAATTGTCTATGCCATGCTACAATGTAGGATTTAGAAAAAGATGTTGAAATGTCTGAAAGGTCGGACACAGGCGAAAGCGTATCGGGAGACGGAGACCAACAAGACCTCCCTCATCCTTGGCCCTATCTCAAAGAATTTTTCGAAATTGAGCTTTCAATTCATATAGCGGCATCTGGCTATTTTTTTAAAGTTACTTTATACTTTCATACTGTAAGTAGTTTTTGGAGCACATACTTTTTCACTTTTTCTTGAGTAAAGAGGTCAAGTTGATACTTCAACTTTTACGAGAGTGTTTTTAAAATGCAGTATCTATACTTCTACTTAAGTAACACGTGTGTATTTTTGACACCACTGTTTAAAACTAGCAGAACCAGATCATAATCTGATGTTCTCTGAAGGTCCAGATCAAGATGTGTACCTCAGACCTGAATTGGTGAAAATATTTTCACTGAGTTTGATGTGCGCTTGGGGGAAGCTCATGCAGGTGGAGATAACATGATTTTTTAAATGACTTTAATGACTTTAATGACACAATACAGAGTTGCTGTCTTGAGCAAGCGTCGACCGAAACTTAGATCTCAAATACACCACCAGTTGCTCTCCGAGAAACCTGTATATAGTAATGAATAAAAAAAAATGGAGGCAAATTCTTGAAGAGTCAAGCTATGCATTTATATCCAACCAATCAGAAGCTGAACCCTGAAGACACAAAGAGCGCAGATGGTCCTTACTGCAAAAGAAAGTGGAAGGTAGAAGGATCTGTGTTCATGTTTGCCCTTTTTAAAATCCTCCACCATCAACATATGTCTTCAGTTACAGGTAAAAGCCTGACAAATGGTGATGCAACATGATGCCTCCCAACGGCGTCGCCAGACCCCATTTACTGGGGCACGTGCCCCAGTATAAATGAGCTGTGCCCCAGTAAAAATCTCAGGAATATTTGCAGCAATAATAAATTTTGTAATACATCAATTTAGATCGTTCCAACGGGAGGAGACGTATATTTCTACTTAAATGCGCAGCAAGTCTATTGTCAACTTCAAATTGAGGATGTAATAGTGCCCCCACGTCCGCGCATGTCACTGAATGAAATGCAGGTAAACTAACACGCTGCTCTCAACTAAGTTGGATGGGACATTGTGCAGCCACGACACATTTTTAGTTCTGGTAACGTTTCTTACTTGTCAATTTTAATATTTTCCCAGTGATACCACATGATTTATAGGCTACTAACAGAAAATTACTGCATTGGTTTGTAGATGGATATCAGGAAATTCCTCACACGAAGCAGAGACAGGGAAGCAGTAAAACAAGATGAGAGAGAGGGAGGTAAGGTCCCGTGAGGAATTAGTGATTTAAGCTAAGCAGTTACATTAGGAACGTTATAAGCAATATGACTGATCTGAACATAAATATAAATGTACGTTTTTTAATGTTTGCTGTAGAGAATGAGAATGAAGGTGCTGGAGTAGGAAAGAGAGGAGGCGAGACTGACAGGCAAGAGGCAGGTGAAAGACAGGACCATGAAGGTGATGAGGGAGCAGTTACAAGTCAAGATGAGAGAGCAACAACCAGCGTCCACAAACAAGGAGGGGACATTAGTGACTTAGGGGGAAAGCATGATGGTCCTAAACAAGTGAAGTTAAAAAAACGTTCATTTAATTAAAAAGGTTTGAAAGCTTTTCCTGGTTAGAATATTCTGTAACTAAAGATGCAGCTTTTTGTTTCTCATGAAGGATGTTTGGTAAACATGTTAAACGTGACTCATTTGTGAGCACTGGTTTAACAAACTGGAAAAAAGCTCTAGATCTCTTCAGAGAGCATGAGAAAACACCTGCCCATAAAGAAAGTATAAGGGCATGGCAGAGCTTCAAAGCCAGTGCTGTTCATGGTAGTGTAGTAGAACAGATGCATTCAGCACATGAGGTGGAAATAAAGGAGAGACGGGAGTACATCAGCCGTATTGTGGCTGTGACACAGTTCTTAGCCAAACAAAACATTCCATTCCGTGGCCACGATGAGGCAGCATCAAGCCACAATCAGGGAAACTTTCTTGACTGCATGAAACTTTTAAAGCAGTTTGATCCGTTTCTCCAGTCATATACACCCCCATTACATAGTACATATTTATCCCCTTCATCCCACAATGAGATGATTGAGTGCTGTGCAGATGAGGTCACAGCAGTTATTGTGAGTGAACTGAAACATGCAGGAATTTTTTCAGTTATTGCAGATGAAGCCAGAGATGGAAACACAGAACAGTTGGCTGAACTAAAACTTACTTCTGAATGTGTATAAGGAAAGTTTTGATTTGTCAAAGTTGATGATGTCTTATTTTCATTGCTGCAATGTTGAAAATATTCCTGTTGTTATAATAAATATGCTCTTACACTCATTAATATGTCAACTTGTAATTTTGGTAGGAATGTATCAGGGTGGGGCAGTGTGCTTGTCTGTATTTGTGTATGGAAGGAGGGGCATATGTGGTCAGGGGCCAGTGCCCCAGTAAAGCTTTGTGCCTAGCAATGCCCCTGATGTCTCCCATGGGACACATCAACCTCTATCCATTTATAAACTAATAATTCTAAGTAATGAGAATACTTTAAATCTTGATGTGATTAGACTTTAGCAGAATATGTATTTATTAAATAAATACTTGAATAAACACAAAACTCACGTCAGTTTCTTTACTTTGCAGATTGAACTCTCCAGTAGCTCACACAAATGCTTCATTCCTGAGTCTCCAAAGGATTCACCTCCAAAGACCCAATCTATTTTTACTTCAGTCAGATGAAGGTTAGACTTCAGAGCTGAGGCCACAACTTCACATTCAGCCTCAGAGAGATCAAAGCCACCAAGTCTGTGAGAAGAGGAGAAATGAAACAGTTCTAATTAAATCGGATAATCTGGATGTTAAAGGCAGACTAAAACATGATGAGCAATCAGTCATGACACCAAAGCGAATCCTTGAGTCTCTTCAGGTCCTGGTTTAGCTGCAGACCTGCTGTGTTAAAGAGATTTAAAACAAAACTGCAGTCAAGCTAGCTAGCCTGATAGAGAGAGGATATGTGGGACCAACAGGGACAAAAGGATTTATTAAGTTAAAATCTAAAATGAAGCACAGTAAGTTTCAATAGATCTTTATGACAGTCCATATCTACACAGAACTATGATTTCAACTCTGCATAGAGCATTACCATTTATCAGCTAAACAATTGCTATTCAATGTGCAGGTCTGTTTTTCAGTGTAGTCCTGTTTCTCTGACTCTGGCTGGATGTGCTCTCTTCATCCTCTGACATGGGAGCTGGCTCGGAGCTCGTATGCCTGGCTGTGTGTTTCCTGGATGCGCACCTTTTACAGTTGCCTCTTCTATCTCTGTCTCTGTCTCCTTAAACCCCAGTGGGACTCAGCAGATGGCTGCTCACACTGAGCCTGGTTGTGTTGGAGGTTTCTTCCTGTTAAAAACTTTGAACCAGTCTGACTGTATGATCTGGTGAACTGTAAAGTGCCTTGAGATGAAATGTGTTGTGAACTGACGCTATATAAATATGTTTATATATATATATATATATATATATATATATATATATATATGAAAATACTTTGGCCATAATTTACAAATTCAGATGGAAGTTTTTGGCTAAAACAAAAGTTGGCTTTGAATCCAAACAGCCATTGCAACAGCAGAAATATATATATATATATATATATATATATATATATATATATATATATATATATATATATATATATATATATATATATATATATATAAAACTTAATATAAAAAGTCAAATAGACAAAAAAGGGCAATTCTGGACGGACAGCCCAATGAGCGAGGAGAACTTTTTTATGTTATGAATTGCCTCAAAATTTTTGAAAATAATCCAAATCTCTCAACATCAAAAGCTCAAATAGAGCTGTCTTAAAAGAGATGGAGGTTTATATGTTTTAACAGTTGAAAATTCCAAAGGATGAAGCAAGAAGTTAAAGGACAAAAACAACCAGAAGCAACTTGAACAATAAAGCAGAACCTGGAAGACAATAGAGCTGAATCAGCATCACACCATGAAGAAATCTGGACTCACCGAGCCTTTCTGCAGTTCCTCACAGCTGGAACCAGTCTACGTCGTCCATCATCTGATGTGTTGTACTTCTTCAGGTCCAACTCATGCAATACCTCATCTGACATTTGCAGCATGTAGGCCAGAGCTGAGCACTGGATCTCTGAGAGCTCCTTCCCCAATTTTACGAATTGTTGGATCTCCTGATAAACTGAGAGGTCCTGCATCTCCATTAGACACTGGAAAATGTTGATGCTTCTATCAGGAGAGATCATATCAGTGTTCATCTTCTTCAGATTGTTTATGACCCTCTGTGTGGTTCCTGCACTGTTTTTTCTCCAACCCAGCAGGCCTCCTAAGAGGCTCTGGTTGGACTCCACTGAGAGGCCATGAAGGAAGCGAGCTAACAGGTCCAGGTGGCCATTTTTACTGCTGAGGGATTTCTCCATGACTCTCTTCAGGAAATCCTCCAGAGATGGGCAGATGTATAAATACCCAAAGAACTTCCTGAGTTTTTTTGTATTTCTGCTGGTGAAGCACTGGAGCATGTAGGCTGCAGCCAGAAACTCCTGGAAGCTAAGATGAACAAAGCAGTAGACTGAGGTGTCGTCCATCCCTTTCTCCTTTTTAAAGATTTCATTGAACACCCCTGAGAACCAGGAAGCATCTTTGATGTTGATGCCACACTTTTCCAGGTCTGGTTTATAGAAGATCAGGTTTCCTTTCAGCAGATGCTTAAATGCCAGTTTTCCAAGAGACTGAAGCATCTTCCTGATGTCTGAATCTTTTCCAGCTCCTCTAAGATACTTTTCTTCCTTCTTTTTACTCTGAATCATCAGGAAGCGGATGTACATCTCAGTCAGGGTCTTGGGCAGATCTCCTCCATCTCTGGTCTCCAACATACCCTCCAGAACATCAGCAGTGATCCAGCAGAAGACTGGGATGTGACACATAATGAAGAGACTTTTTAATCTCTTAACATGGGAGATGATCCGGCTGACCTTCTCTTCATCTTTGAACCTCTTCCTGAAGTACTCCTCCTTCTGTGGATCAGTGAAACCTCTGACCTCTGTCACCATGCCAACACACTCAGGAGGGATCTGACTGGCTGCTGCAGGTCGCGTGGTTATCCAGAGGAGAGCCGAGGGAAGCAGTTCCCCCCTGATGAGGTTAGTCAGCAGAACATCCACTGAGGTTAACTCTGTCACATCATTCAGAGTCACGTTGTTCTTGAAGTCCAGAAGAAGTCGACTCTCATCGAGACCGTCTAAGATGAACAGAATCTGGAATTGTTCAAAGCTGCAAATCCCTGCATCCCTAACCGGCTTAAAGTGTTTATGAATCAGTCCCACTAGGCTGAACTTTTCCTCTTTTAGAACATTCAACTGTCTGAAGGTGAATGGAAATATGAACTGGATGTTCTGGTTGGTTCTGCCTTCAGCCCAGTCCAGAGTGAACTTCTGTGTTAAGATCGTTTTCCCGATGCCAGCCACACCCATTGTCATCACAGTTCTGATCCGATCCCTTCTTCCAAATGGATTGAAGATGTCTTCTGGCCTGATTGCTGTTTCTGGTCTGTTTTTTTTCCAGGATATTGCTTCAATCATCCTGACCTCATGTTCATCATTGACTTCTCTACTCTTTCCTTTTGTGATGTACAGCTCTGTGTAGATTTCATTAAGAAAGGTTTCCTCTCCAGCTTTAGCAATGCCTTCATAGACACATTCAAACTTCTTCTTCAGAGACACTTTAAGGTCATGTTGACATCGACTATTAACATCTAAATGAAGAAACAGACACATGAGGAAACATTTCGGCCGGAGAACAAAAACTACCTCTAATGTTCTAAGTGAGGGCTGCTTATGGGCATTTCTATCAAGGAAACATTCAATATTTACAGAAAATGTATTTTAGTTTAAAAATTTTTTTTAGTTTTTATACCAAGGTTTCCAAACAAGGGAGTCATTGCATCATCCAACGAGAGGGGCTCATGTGCAGAGAGTGCAGAGCTTTCATACTTTCAAACAAACAAAAATCCAAACATCCAAAGCCTTGTGTCTATGGGCCGGATTTATCAAGATCCAATTTTGCGTGCAGTAATTTGCGCTCGCAAACTGGAATTTTGCGCGAGGGGCTGGACCATGGTTTGCGGGTGATTTAAGAAGAGCGATTGCGTAACTGGTGGCAGGTGCAAAACTGTTGGAGACGCCCTATTTAAATGATGGTTTTGCGCGTTTTGTGGTTTGCGGCAAAGTAGTTTGTAGTTTCTACAAGCTAGTGCATTAAGAAATTTAAATCTTACAGTGATATATAAAGAAAAAACTTTGGCAACCTTTAATCCCTAAGGTGGCTGAATGTCTACTTCACTGCAGTAAAAAAAAAAAAAAACAACAACAAAATAACAGGTGTTTTCTATTGGCCTGTAGAAAAATGCACATACCAAATGGCTCACAAGAAGTGACTGTGGATGAGATTACGCATCCCAGCAGCATTGGAATGTTGCTCCACAGGCGCAGAAGGAGAACCCCGACCCTGTCGGACAGCACTTCTGAAAAACGAGATTGGGAGATCCCAGCTCTCGCTGCAACCGTACGCTGGAATGACCCAGATGCAAAAAAGTGCAATGTTGCAAGGAGTTTTGTGATATCTGTATTTGCGTGGGTCCTCCTTGTGGCTGGCTCCAAATCCATTCGGAGTTCCCCCAACAGCTCCAAAATGACAATGCTGGATAAACGACATGTTTTGATGATCGTTTCCTCGTTCACTCCAAAAATATTCACATGGAGTGAAAAAATGCATTCTCTGCGTCTCCTTGCTTCATTTCGACGTCTCCTTGCGACAATGACCGCTGCCATGTGTGCGCAATTACGCATACAGACCATTTGCACCTTCTTTTGAAACGTGTTAAATATAGAGTCAGATACCGTTAGCAAAATTGTTTTTAGGTTTGATAAATCACTTTGCGAGTGCTAAATTAATATATTTACATGTTCTCCTCCCACAAGACGCACTTTTGCGTGTAAACGCCCCATATTGCATATTCATTGCAGAAAAAGTACTAAATGGATAAGAGGCGCTATTTAGCACGTTTTAAAGACCAAATCCTTTTAGCACGCTGTTGATAGATCAGTTTGTACATTTTTTAGCGTGCGCAGTGAAATAGCTCACGTTTTTATACACGCAAACCTTTGATAGATCCGGCCCTATGTGTTCATGCACACTGTTCCTTCAAACAACCCAATCAGTGGTGAACTGGGCACAGCTGCAGGAACCGTTTGGAGTACCCTGTCCCTGCCTATAAAAGTGGTATAGATAACTAGAGGATTCCCACCACTTTTCAAAAGAACCAGTGCAATGATGCTGTGCTACAGAATATTTAGCTTCACCATGAAGGGTTATTGTAGTTAATTCCAGTAAACCAACAATTTTAAGGGAGACATCAGAGACTCCTGCTAAAATATAAAGTGTCTGTCGGTAGCTAACTGCTTAGTTCTACAATGTTAGGTTCAAATGGTGCCATCTACCTGCTGTATTTATCTCATTTGTACTATAATGCTAAACAGTAAAAATAGATGCACCCTATTATTCATTTAATATACAACCCCCCACCCCTATATTAAAAAGCATTTTCTGCTATTTCTATCTTTTAACAGGTTTTCAGCTCATATCTCCTCACCTTCCTGCTAATTTCTAGGAATTTTAACCTATGAATTATATCACATACGTAGTTTTTTTTACTCAGTACCAATACTTAGCGTGCTCTACCTCTTTAAGGTATTCTTGATATTGTTTTGTTTATTTCTAAGATTTCTTGAACCTTTAAAGTAGTGTCTAAAATTGTGTAACAGTTAATAAATTAATAATGTGAATTATCCTAAATCTAAAACATTCAAATGACCCCTTACCATGGATTTACACCTATTATAGGATGTATTCCTGCAAATAGGATTTAATCAAACCTACACACTTTTTCATGAGTGGTTGCTTTAGGTCTTTAAGTGGAATTGAAATGAATAATAAACTAACTTAATACATGGAATTCAGTCCTTCTCTTATCAATAATTATTGCACATGTGAAATACAAATATAATGTTAGGTTTCCAGTTTATGTGGGTTGTTTTTTGTGTTTTCCTCTCTCCACCACCAGATGGTGCCCTGTCCTTGTTGGGCCTCCCTGCACACCTGCGGCTCGTTGGGTAATTACCAGAGGAGTACTTGAGCAGCGGGCTGTCACCACCTCGACGCCAGAGTGTTTGCCAGTATTGGGTACTCTAGCCAAACTGAGATTAGCAGAGTCTAACCTTAGCATTTGCTTCTCTGAATCTGAAGTTGTTTTTTGTTTTTGTCTTTGTTCTTCAGGAGGAAGACTTCCTGTGTTACTGGATTAGCCTGGACCTTCTACCCCTGGAAAGATTTACTGAGTCTCACTGAGCAAGGGGAAAACCTTCACATGATCCGTTCAAGTCCACTCCTGGAAAACCAAGTGACAGTCCGCTCCTTTAATCCACTGGGTCTCATGTATGTCTGCCTGTCCGCTCTCCAACGAGTTCCCTCTTCTCTGGATTAAACCCCCACAAACTGAATCCAAGGATAAACCCATAGCCCCCCAAAAGTGAGTGTCTCTCCAGCAATATTCAACCCTCAGTCTATTTTCCCACTGTCCCTGAAGTATTCACCGTGATCTCCCCTTCAGAATTTTCGGTTCCAGTTCACCAGTCCGCTGAGTTCCAGCATTGTTTCCCCACAGAGTTTTAATCTCCATCAGTGTTTGCTAACCTACAATAAACCTGTTAAACTTTTACCTTTGGTCTCTGAGTGGTTCTGTGCATGTGGGTCAGATCTTTAAAACCCTTTATGACATATAAAACAAAAACAGAATGTTTTAAATTTTTTGGTAAAAGCACTGCCATGTTGCAGTACTCAAATTGCTGATGTCATGGAGTTGGTTGATGCTTTTGGTAAGAGTTGAATATATTGAGAAAACCAGTTATACCTCATAACCGTAAAACACTTAAGGAATTTGGTATGATGGAAAAGAAGCTGGGAAGACACTAAAGTATCTAAATTCCATTGCTTATGAGCCCATTTGGCCTATGACTCAAGCCATAGTAGGGAGAGAAGAGGCGGTTTCAGAGCCAGGGTTCTGACTATCACTACTGCCATACAGATGGTTGTGGAGATTATGTAAATCACCAGACTTTTGAGTCTAGCAAGGTAGTAGTCCATCAGTCAGCTGGCTTAAGCCGGGCGTACACTGTGAGATTTTGTGGGCCATTTTTCAGTCGTTCGATAATCTTTCGATCGGCCTTGACTTTCAGCCTGATTGTGAGTTGTGTAGTGTACAGGGGGTTATGAAGGGCGATCAGCCTCTCCCGACCATCTCCCAATCAGGAATCATGAGGTCGGGAGAAATCCCTCAGAGCGCATGCGCAACCAAGGATTGTTCTTTTTATTCTTCCTCTCAGATGTAAACACAGCAGCGTGGCAGGGATGCAATGAGTGAAATGCAGTTCTTTCTGTAAAATTGACAGACCGTAGAAGCCATGTCTTTTTTTCCAAATACGTCGTTGCCTTTTCTTTTCAGGGCTTTCAGCACAAAAATGCACAAATTGCCAAGGCAGAGTGGTTCACTATAGTGAGCATAATATCCCTCTTCTTCTCGTTTGGCTTCTGGATAGACACGTCAGAGCAACTTCATCTCACTGCGGAGCTGAGTCCGACGTGGTTTTTAGTCGCACAGTGTGAGCAGGTAGATCGCATGAGAGCGTCGGGCCCAACATAAATCGTGAGTTGTGAACTCACACTGTACAAGTAAATCCTGCGGTTAGTCATACAGTGTGAGCAGCAGCTGTGTGCAACGATTGAAAAAAAATCACACAGTGTATGCCTGGCTTTAACCCTAATGCTTCACCGGGTTTAGCCAAATGCGTTTTACTGTTGTGAAGTATTACCAGTATTATCAATATATTCTCCTGCTAGCTAAAGCTTTAACCATCCCGGTTACATCCCCGCTTGGAAAACTGCAACATAGCGGTCCCTTGCCAAACATTTTTAAAACTGTTAATTTTTTTCTTTTGCATTTATATTTTTCACATTTGTAATATAATTATTGATAATAGTAAGACACAACTAATGAATGAGGTTAGTTTGGTTAATCATTTCATTTCCACTCTAGTGATCCATTTTTTGGCTTCTACTTGAATCTACTAGATCTACTAGAATTAGACAAAAACTTTATTTACTAGGTTTTGGGTAGAATTAAGAAATGTGGCTTTGGTTTCCATTACTTGCGTCATTTTTGGAGTTAGGCCACAAACTACGATATATGACTTTCTTAATATTTGATTAGCCTTAACATAACTTGAAGGCAGTTGTGATAATAGATGGGTTTTTCAAACTCTAACCACCAGGAAGTCCATAGCTGTTCCGTGTTCTGTAAAGCAGAAATCTAACAAGGAACCTGAACTGTTAAAATCTGTGAATTCTGAGAATCGAGAAGTTTTCTAAAGACCTCATCATGATGCCTTAGTTTGTTTGTTAGATTTATTTCGTTTTTAGGGTAGAATAAAAGATGGCAGGCTAAAACTAGCATTATGGAGCCGTTTGGATTTACCTGGCTGAGCAGAAGAAGAAGAGGACAAACACAGCTGATAGGACAGTTTAGGATCTATGAGCTGAAGATGTTGGATCATCGTTTTGCTGGCTTCCTCTCCCTTTTTCATCACATTATCTATAATGCAGCGGGCCTTGTCTGCTGTGACTGGGTTCATTTCAAGTATTCTCTGTTTCTCTGAAGAAGTAAAAACACGATCTCTTTGAAGGCTTTCAAGGAGCTGAGTCAGGACATCTGAAGCAACCCTGTTTACGAACTCTGGTCGGACATCAAACAGCTTTTCCTCTGCAGGTAGAAATTGGAGACAGAAACATGGTCAATTCAAACTGATTTCTGAGAAAGGTTGAACATGTTGCGTCATCCAGAGATTTCCCACCGAGGCTGTGGATCATAACTCCTTAGTGCTGACCCTGTTCTTCTTCTGTGACTGCATAATATCTTAGGGAGGACCTGCTGGATTTGTCCAAATGTGTCTGACTAAAGCTTTTTATACACTTTCTTTTCTCTCTGCAAATAACATTAAAATTCCGTTTAAATTTAGGACTGCATGATTTTAGAAAAGCATGCCATTACTCCCTTACTGTTGAACTTTGAGTTGAAAACATGACCCTCTCTAATGACTGGGATCTATGTTACTGAGATTGTCAATTTACCACAAACAGGTCGAGTTCCATCCTGGTTTCATGTTAAAATTATTAAAACCTTAGTAAATTATGCATTCAACAATGTTTAACGAATAACGTAACTGCCTTTTTCACAAGCTTTGAATTAACAATATAAATATTGTCATGGATTTGTGAAAAGGAATGAAATGTAAGTGTTATTTAAAAAAAATAATGGAATGTAATATTTGAGTTAATCAGAATACAATAGTTTAGAACTTGTATGAGGCTGAAGAAGGGATGAACTCATGGACTGTTTGAGTACATCATAGGGGAAAAGCTATGGGTTATAAGTGGTAGCCTAGTGGTTAGAGCAATGCGCTTGTGCTCTGAGAATATTGCAAATACCCAGTTTGATTCCAACAGCCCTCCCTCTAGGTCCCTGAGCAACACCCTTATCCCCCGATTGCTCCCCAGGCACCACCAGTGATGGAAGTAACAGCGTTGAAAGTAATAGCGTTACTAACGCCATTACCTTTTTTTTAGTAATGAGTAATCCAACTAATAACTTTGACTGTAACTATAACACAGTTACCAAGTTACTGCATGTTAGTCAGGTCGCACAATGAAGCTTTTTTTCATTATAGGACTCAGACTCGTGCCCGCCTTGTCATGAGAGAGGGGAGGATGAGATTGGCTGTTACGGGTGTTGACGTACAGCACACACAGAGAGATGGAGAGTTAGGAGAACTCCAGCAGCAAAACAGCGTTTTCCACATGGAAATACCGGTGTTACGTGGAGCTGCGTTTCCCCCATCAGATACGGTTTCCCCTGCATCTCCGCACAGTGCAGCAGTGTTGGGCACGTTACTTAGAAAAAGTAATTAGTTATAGTTACTAGTTACTCCTCCCAAAAAGTAACTGAGTTACTAACTGAGTTACTCCACAATAAAAGTAAGTAGTTACTAGTAAAAGTAACTATTTCGTTACTTTTGCGTTTCTCGCCCCCGTAACCCTCACCACCCAGCCCCCACCTTCTCGCAGTGTGTTTCCAAAGCCAGCTGAATAGAGCGGACGACAAAGACAAGAACCTGCAGAGAGTTTTGCATTTATTGCAACTCAACGTAAATGACATCGGGGGGGAACGCCATGTGAAGTTTTTTAATAGGGCATTCAGATCTGGTGAGTATATGAAATTAATAACTGGGGATGTCTAATTCTGAAATCCTGTGTGTTTGGGTTGTTATAGATACTGCAACATCCATCTATCCATCTATCTATCTAGATGTATACTCTGTGTGTGACATAAAATATGGATATCCATCCCTGCTACAAAGGCCATCAAATAATGTTTAAAATAAAAAATACAGTAGGTTGAAAAGGCAGAGTATCCATTCATCCATCCATCCAGATTTCTCCCTTTCTCCATATAGGCTATCATTTGATCGTTTACGCTCTCCATAGTTCTCCTGTGGTGCGAGCACAGGGCGATTGTTACGCGCCTTTAGCGAGCATGCGCGTTTCCTGTCGCTTGTGCGGTGAATCGTGCCGCCTGCGCTGTGCGGAGATGCAGGGGAAACTGTATGTGATGGGGAAACGCAGCTCGACGTAACACCGGTATTTCCATCTGGAAAACGCTGTTTTGCTGCTGGAGTCATCCTCACTCTCCATCTCTCTGTGTGTGCTGTACGTTAACACCCGCCAGCGGAAACACCCACCTACCCAACTGACAGACGGAATCTCACTATACATCAGCCATTCTCATCCTCCCCTCTCTCATGACAAGGTGCGCACGAGTCCTATCATGAAAAAAGGTTCATTATGCGACCTGAGTATCGTGCAGTAACGGGGTGTCTGCAATGGTAACTGCGTTATATTTCATGTCAAAGTATTTAGTTAGATTACTCGTTACTAAAACAAGGTAACGGCGTTAGTAACGCCGTTAGTCCCATCACTGTTTACTAGTAACTAGTTAGTTTTATTGTGGAGTAAGTCAGTTAGTAACTAAGCTACTTTTTGGGAGAAGTAACTAGTAACTATAACTAATTACTTTTTCAAAGTAACGTGCCCAACACTGGGCGCCACACAGTGTTAGCCCACTGCTCCCCATTGGGATGGGTGAAGATGCAGAAGTGAATTTCTTCAATGTCAGTTGTCAGTTTATTATCATTATCTCACTCAAGGATAGTATTTGGTCTGTCCATAAAGAGAAGTACAGTTAATGTACAAAATGTACATAGCTATAACTGTAACGACAGAGTGTGTAATACAAGTAGACCTTCCAGGTCAAAGAGAAGAGATAGAGCTGATTTATTGCTAAAAAAGGCTCCAACACATGGTCCAATATGGTGTCACCTAAAAGAATTATGTAAGGATTAAATAATGGAGAAGCAATTAGTCAGCTTTGTATAAAAATTATTCAATTTCTGAGGATGTTTATTTAAGAGCAACTTTGGAAATTAACAAGCAGCTAGAAAAAGTACACTATATGATATTATTTTCCATGTGAATTCAAGATTGTTCATTCTTTTTTGCCTTTCCTAAAAAGTGCTTCATTCTTTTTTGCCTTTCCTAAAAAGTGCTTTAAATCATTCCTAGCTGTCTTTATCCATTCTGGGTCAGATCCTGACATTTGAAAAATGGCAGGGAAAGCAGAATAATAAGCATTAGCCTCACTGCATGCAGCTAGCAAAGCATTGTAGCTAAACCAGGTCCTGAAAAAAAGACCATGTGTACCATCTCCATCTGTCTTCGGACCTCTGATTAATTTTGAAGGTCGGCTTATCAGGTCCAAATGCTTTCCCCTCCAGCTTCTCTTGGTAAGTTTGCTTTATAAGACTTCACTTCCACGACTCGACATGTCAATCAGCCACACTACTAACAGGTTAGGGTTCCTGTCATCCCAGGGCACAGCTCTCCTTCGCCCTGATCTCTCATATCTTTTTGCACTGCAGAGGAGTTAATATGCATGCACACCTTTTAACAAGAGTCAATGGCCAAAGATTTTTGTGCCCCAGGGCGGAACTACGTCACCAATCTGATGACGAATAAAACAGATTTACTTGTCATTAAAGATTTAACAACACATTTATCTTGCACACCTAAAAATATATATTTATATATAATATATTTATTTGTATTTTATAATTACATTTTTATTGTTTGTTTATGTTTCACTCAAAGTCACTGGGTGGGTGGGGCAGGGCCATAGCACCCTCTGTTGACCAGCTGCCACTGTACCCCACTCTGAAAAAAAAACTCTGCAAATAGACTGAATGGTTATTGCTTCATTAGTGCAGGTTTGTACATCTGAAATTGTCATTTGCAAAAATGAAAAAACAACAAAATAGATAACAAGATCTGTGCTAACGTGATAATGTTTTAGGCCATCCAGAGAAGCTGCAAACTGAACAGGATGCAAAGAGCTCACACACAAGTTTAGAATGGCCTATTCTATTGGAATGCTGTATGAAGGTACTGCAGTTACCTGGAGCACAGCATGGATGCAGCGACAGAATAGTGTTGTATTTTGTAGCTAAGCCATTCAGTGATTTATAGACTAAAAGAAGTATCTTAAAGCCTATTTTCTGAAATGTGTGTAGTCAGTAGAAAGACTTGGAACTAGGCTGTTGTGTTCTACTTTCTTAGTTTTAGTGAGGACACAGGCAGCACGTTTTGGATCAGCTGCAGTTTTCTGACTGAGACAACATATTGTTATGTGACTTCATGTTGTAAGTATGTCTATCTACAGAGATGGGAAGTAACGAAGTACAAATACTTCGTTACTGTACTCAAGTAGATTTTTCTGATATTTTTACTTTACTTTACTACTTATTTTTATGGCGACTTTTTACTTCTACTCCTTACATTTTTACACAAATATCTGTACTTTCTACTCCTTACTTTTTAAAAAATTGGCTCGTTACTTTAGTTTTGAATCATTTCAATGGAGTTACCGTTATTATTTTTCACGTCATCAATACCAAATTCAATCTAACTGGATGGGAATCTACGTTGCATTTGACGCACCACTACAAGATGAATCGACAGATTCGGCGGTATTCATTGGCGGCAAATCATTGCAGCTTGGTGGCGGTGGCGTTAGCATAGTAGCATGGACGACAAGATGATTGAAAATGAACACAACGGAGATCTAGTCCTATTGGCAGACATCCATTTAAAATGTAGGCAACGGCATGAAAAAAGTGGTTTCTACTTTTACTTTTATACTTTAAGTAAATTTACAAGCCTGTACTTTGTTACTTTTACTTGAGTAAAGAAGTTTAATCAGTACTTCCACTTTTACCAGAGTATTTTTTAACACAAGTATCTGTACATTTACTCAAGTACAGAAAGTGAGTACTTTTGCCATCTCTGTCTATCTATCCTATAATTAGTGATTTGTTTTCAGAGTTCAACAGAGGATTGTAGATGTTCAGCCTTACCTGCCAAACAGCTGCTCTGGTTGTTTTCTTGCGGTCCAGCTCTGTTTCTAAGTCTTTCTCCACACTCTGCATTGCTCCTCTTCCTCCATCTGTGGAGGAAGAGAAGTTTTGTTTTTATTTTTCAAGAAATTTAAACAAAGATTAATCCAGCATTTCTGATGACCATATTGTGTGTCTGTAACTACACACAAAGCCCAAGCAACAAAGCAAAGAACTCCGAGGGTTGAGAATTACCCTTTACAAAGGCAACATGAAAATACCATTGTCTTCAGAGGTTTAGTTTCACTTTTAAGCTAGTAAATGTTTAGTGAGATATTTATATTAAGCAACTGTCCTTTTCCGTCCTTCATCATGTAAACAGATGATCAACCAGCAGCAGTCCCATCTCTTCAGCACAGACACCCCCCATCCTGTCCCAGTGAAGAAGGTGAGCTAGATTGTGTTCAGGGACATGTCAGTTAGCATAATTTTGTCTCTTTTTAACCAAAAAAAAAAATCAAAATCAAACTTTTTTTCTATTAAAAAAATGTGAAACATATACTATATATCATCATAATATAAAAATGGCCTGTAGTTGTTTGTACTGGATATTGGACAGTTGAAGGAAAACATTAGCCTCCAGCAGCCTGTATTAAAATCAGTCAATATTAAAATAGTTCAGTTAGATGTTTTTATTCAGATTGAATATCAATGTCTTTTATGGGGCTTGTTCTCTGATAGAACGCCATGCAAGAAGTTCTAAAAGTTACTTAGGGTTCTGGTCTTTATTGCATTAAGTCAACTGAATCTAACTTTATGACGATCCTTTGGACTTCAGTTCTGGGTCCATGATGTAATTTTATTGCCCTGATATATCATTAAGCATCTTAGTCTTTAGTTCCAGTAATGGACATAATTTTTCATGGGGGGGGGGATGTCCCTTGCTCTTTTTTAAATGTCTGTTTTGGTCCCCTGCAAATTTTACTGTCCAAAAACAATGTTATGCTACAGTACACAGACATTCGGCGAGCACCATGACCAAGCGGAAAACCAGCTCAAACTGAAACCAGCTTCCCCGAGTTTAGACCCCCAGCAAGCTCCTTATTGGCCCACTGTCTTTTCTTGTGTGATTGGCCACCACTGCTGTCACTCCTGAGAAGCTCACTTTACAAACACCTGAGGTGCCACTGAATCTGGTCTGTGATCGGATGGTCAAACAAGATGAAGTTAGTTTTATTTGAAAATACTTGCGTCACCCCCACTTCTGAAATCAAAATTTCGTCTCTGGTTCCAGTCTATCTTTATAGATTTGCCTTTTACTGTTTCATTGAAACGTGTTGGAAGCTGGAGAAGTACCTCTCTTCTCCAGCAGAGTCCGCCGTGGATCCTCCTGAGCAGAGCCCTCTGCACAGCTGCTGCTCGTTACCATCATCAGGAGGACCCTCTACTTAAGCTGTCTTCAGACCTTGCCTCAACGCCGCAGTGTTGAGCCAGTTGGTTAGCACCTAAGCCCAGAACCTCTGAGAACTTTGCTTGCTCTGAGAACCTGACAGGATCCTAATCTTGTCTCTGTCTTTCCAGGAAAACCTGATCATTCTTCGTGAAGCTCTGGATGAGCTTAACCCACCGAGCCTGCCCTCTGAGCCAAACCTGAAGACTTCCCCTGGATTCTCTTGCAGCTCTGGACCAAGAGCTGGAAATCCAAGTCAAGGTCTGCAACCTTTCTAGAAGCAAGACGCTGAAGCAGCTAACGGACTCAGCTATTCAGACTCTCTCCAGTTCCAACAACCTTCCTCTCCAAGATCCATTCAAGGACCCACAAGGTACAAACCTGAGACTATCAAAGGACAAACCGCTAAGAGCTCTGCTAACTAACTGTCTTCCTCACAGACTCCGGTGAACCCGTTTGCCCTGGACCAGAACCAGAAACATACTATCATTGGATTGTATTCAATAAACTCTGTTAACTTTTCATCTGTTTCCTGTGTCGTGGTGTTCTGCATAATTGGGTCACATTCGTGTACCGATCATGACAGAACACTGCGGCCAAACACAAGGCCCAGCAGACCACCTCCGTCGTCTATTGGAAGAACGGGAGGCTCAAATCCATGGACATGTTCAAGCTCTCAGTGAGTTAAACACCCACATAGAGTTACAAAACCAAGTAATCCAAAATTTTGCTAGCCGCTTGAACAGTGCTAATGCCACACCGGCAGCGCAACCATTTCCGGGTCCAGTTCCCCCTGCGAGGTCACCAGCAGTAACGTCATCAGAGTTCCGCTTAAGCCTTCCTGAAAAATTCTCGGGAAATATGAAGGAATGCAGAGTATTTTTATTTCAGTGCAGATTATTGTTCCAGAACTCTCCCAACAGTTTTTCGACGGACTTTAAGAAAGTAACCTTTATTCTCTCTCAACTAACAGGAAGAGCTTTGGAGTGGGCCCAGGCCAGATTTCCCTCAGATGAAAGTCTCAACTGCCGATACTCTGATTTCATTTCTGAGTTCTCCCAGGTTTTTAATCAAGAAACTGATCAAACTATTGACTCTCGTGCTCTTTTCATTATTAAGCAGGGAAATTCATCTGTGGCTGATTTTTCGATCAACTTCCGGGTTAAGGCAGCAGCTTCCGGATGGAATCAAAGCGCTCTGAAGGGAGCTTATTTTATGGCCTTAAATGAGAATATTAAAGACGAACTGGCAACTCTCGACGAGCCAGCCTCCCTTGAGGATCTAATCAAACTAACTATTAGATTGGACAACAGAATTAGAGCCAGAAATAGCTCCGAGATAAGAAATTCTGGGTCTCACGCCCCTACTTCTGCCTCAAATGTCGTGACTGTTTCTTCTCCTCCCACAGAGCGACCAAGGGCCCAGTCCCTCCCTCTGCCTGTTCAGGCTTCACATTCAGGTGGTATGGAGGTCAAACCTATGCAGGTGGGACACACTCGGCTTACTCCTGAGGAGAGACAAAGACGTTTTTTGAGCAGACTTTGCATCTATTGTGGTGAAAGTGGACATTTCATTGCTTCCTGCCCGGCTAAATCAAAAGGCAGGGCCCGCCAGAGGATCTGAGGAGTCTGGCGGGCCAAACCAACTCTAAGAAATCTCCTCGATTGATGCTGCCTGCCACCTTGTTTTGTAATAATCAGAACCTCTCTTTTTCTGCCTTTATTGATTCAGGCTGTGAACGGAACCTCATAGACTCTAACCTCGTTCAACAATTGATGATTGAAACTGTTCCTCTTTCTCAACCCCTCCGTGTCTCTGCCATTGATGGGAAGAATCTCCACCAAGTTACTCATCAAACCCAACCCCTCGAGCTCCTCCTCTCAGGTAACCATCGTGAAACTATCAAATTTTTTGTTATTCCCTCCGCATGTTCCCCGTTGGTGCTTGGATTCGAATGGCTGGAGAAACACAATCCACGCATTAATTGGACTGAACGTCACGTGGAAGCATGGTCTACGTCATGTCATGAGACTTGTCTTCGGTCGGCAGCCCCCGTGGTGGGGCCTCCTAGGGGTGGGGGAGAGATGGACTCTCCTGACCTATCTTCAGTTCCCTTTGAGTACCATGACTTGGCCCCGGTTTTCAGTAAGGTCAGTGCTACGTCCCTTCCACCACATAGACCATATGACTGAGCTATTGAGTTGTTACCTGGAGCACCGTTACCCAGCAGCCGTTTATATAACATCTCCAAGCCAGAACGAGAGACAATGGAGAAGTATATTAACGAGTCTTTAGCTGCTGGAATTATTCGCCCGTCCTCTTCTCCTTTGGGTGCTGGTTTCTTTTTTGTTGGCAAGAAGGATGGTTCATTAAGACCATGCATTGATTACAGAGGGTTGAACCAAATCACCATAAAGAATAAGTACCCTCTACCTCTCCTAGCCTCTGCTTTTGAACCTGTTCAGGGGGCAACAGTTTTCACCAAACTGGATCTGAGAAACGCATATCATCTCCTCAGAATCAGAGAAGGAGATGAATGGAAGACTGCTTTCAAGACACCATTAGGTCAGTTCGAGTACCTGGTAATGCCTTTTGGTTTAACAAACGCCCCCGCCTGCTTTCAAGCACTAGTGAATGATGTTCTCAGAGACTTTTTAAATGTGTTTGTCTTTGTCTATATAGACGACATACTCATTTATTCACGGAACTTAACTGATCACAAGAAACATGTCCGCCTGGTGTTACAGAGGCTACTGGAGAACAAGTTATTCGTCAAGGCAGAAAAGTGTGAGTTCCACCAACCATCAGTGACCTTTTTGGGGTTTGTGCTCGAGGGCGGGCAGGTTAAGCCTGCGGAGGACAAGATAAAGGCGGTTTTGGACTGGCCGATTCCTGAGACTCGAAAACAGCTTCAAAGGTTTTTGGGGTTCGCCAATTTTTACCGTCGTTTCATTAGAAATTATAGCCAGGCGGCTCAACCTCTGACCTCTTTAACTTCTGTTAAGAGGAATTTTCAATGGACTCCCGAAGCTCAGTCTGCTTTTGACAAACTGAAATCTTTGTTTTCCAGAGCACCGGTGTTAATTCAGCCTGACCCTTCTAAACAGTTCATCCTGGAGGTCGATGCTTCGGATTCTGGCGTTGGAGCCGTCCTTTCCCAGAGACTCGACTCAGATCAAAAGATTCATCCATGTGCTTTTTTCTCTCGCAGACTCTCATCAGCAGAACAGAACTACGGCGTTGGAGATCGAGAACTATTAGCCATCAAATTGGCGTTGGAGGAGTGGAGACATTGGTTAGAAGGAGCTGAGCACCCGGTTCTAGTCTGGACTGATCACAAGAACCTTGCTAGCATCCAGTCTGCCAAACAGGCCAACCCTCGTCAATCCAGGTGGTCCATTTTCTTCTCCAGATTTAATCTCGTTATCTCCTACAGAGCCGGATCAAAGAATGTGAAACCTGACTTCCTCTCGCGCCTATACTCCGTCGATCAACCCGAGACACCAGAGCCAGTCCTCCCGGCCTCTTGTACTGTGGGAGTCGTGAACTGGGAGATCTCCGATCTTATTAACTCCGCCCTGGCCTCGGAACCCGACCCAGGTAACGGTCCGGCTAACAGAACTTATGTTCCGTCTTCCGTCAGGTCCAGGCTCATTCAAT